TGATTGATCTTAAATCTTAAGTGTGTGTGTGTGTGTGTGTGTGTGTGTGTGTGTGTGTGTGTGTGTGTGTGTGTGTGTGTGTGTATCAGGTGATCGTGCAGATGTCGGTGGAGTTCGCGCAGCAGACCGAACACGAGCGAATCAGCAAACAGACCCGCGAGACGAGCACCGGCATGCAGACGGAGAACAGCGGACAGGAAGAGGAAGAAGAGCACAGGTGGACATCTGAGAAGGTGAGCTCATGAATATTCATATGACTGATCTCCATACTCCACCAATGAGCTTCAGTTTCTGTCATCAGTACATCAGCTGACGTGAGTGAGTGTGTGTGTCCTCTGAAAACTAACACACACTCTGACTCTGATTGGGGTAAAATTGCTTAGCCTTGCCCCCCTACATTTGTTAATTAAATATGACAGACGGTAACCAAAACAAAGCTCCGCCCCCTACTCAACATTCAGTTTCAGCCTTAAATACGACATCATCAGCTCCTGATTCAGGGTGAGTGAGTGAGTGAGTGAGTGAGTCTTCTGTAAACTAACAGTCATTTTTGTAGTATTCCCCACATGACACACACACACACACACACACACACACACCGTGTTCCTGATGAGATGAGGATGAACAGATTATTTGACTGATTCCGACTCTGTGAATCTCCTGTCAGAGTGATCGTGTGCTCCTCTTGATGAGAGATTATTAAAGCGTGCTGTATCTACTGTTAAAGCAGCGTACAGTACAGGCTCCTGCAGTATTTGCTTTTATTGGGAAAGAAAATGCATTATTAAAAACACTTAATCCTAGCTCTGCTAGAATTACTGCACTTTAAAATGATTTTTGATTATTTTTTTATAAACCTTTTTCCAAAATAACAAAAACAAACTATATTTACACAAACATATGAAGACTTTAAGAAGCAGAAAATATCAAACATGAAGAACTAAGTTACAAAAAATGTGACAAATTTATATATAAAAATAGAAAATGCAAATTCTGGACAATAATAGAAACTGAATTTAAATAACTGCAGTTTAGTGAAAAGATTTTACATTTTAAGAATCAAAAATAGCTAATACTATGAAAACTGAATTTCTAAAACTTTAACAGAAAAAGACATCATAATGAGAAATGTCTATGCAATATAATAATATATATAGATATATTTGAAGTAGTTTTGAGTCCAGTACCTAAACTACTTTTAGAGTCGAGTTAAAGAACGTTAGAGTTAAAGACATTTTCAGGCAACGTGATAAAAAGTAATTTAAATACTTTATAAAATAATTTAAAGTCATTATGAGATTGAAGGTAAGATTGTCTTTTTTCCTCTGTTGTGATGTACATCCACTTAAAACGGACCTGAACTGAGAAAAGGGCGGTGCTCGATTTCATCCTTTGGGATCCGATTAGATTGTTAAAAAATGGGCGTTGCTAACAAAATTCAGGGCAGAAATGAGACAGGACTCTAAATGACTGATAGCCCCACCCTAAATGACAGATAGCCACACCCTAAATGACTGATAGCCACACCCTAAATGACTGATAGCCCCACCCTAAATGACAGATAGCCACACCCTAAATGACTGATAGCCACACCCTAAATGACTGATAGCCACACCCTAAATGACAGCTAGCCACACCCTAAAGGACTGATAGCCCCACCCTAAATGACAGATAACCACACCCTAAATGACTCATAGCCCCACCCTAAAGGACTGATAGCCCTACCCTAAATGACTGATAGCCCCACTTTAAAGGACTGATAGCCCCACCCTAAATGACAGATAGCCACACCCTAAATGACTGGTGGTCCAATCCTGAAGGAGGGATTTTCTCAACCTTTTTCTATTCAGGGCCCACTTTTTTTCTCAGATCAATTTTTTTAGGAGTTTGCAGCTGAATATTATTGGCAGATCGCTGACAGGAACAGTGAACCGCTCTGCCAGAGCACGTCTGAAGCTCATATGCAGGTTTAATTTATAGTCTATGACAGAAACAGCATTGAGTCTCGCTGGATCCTCCTGTATGAGCGAACGTCTGTTATAAATCACTCAGGACATTATTTTGGACAACTATGCGGATATATTAAATAGTTCATCCTAAACTACACACAGACAGACTTTCACTTCATGCATAATGTTAGTTTGTGAATGAACAGACCCGAGTGTACTAGCTGCAGACGCAGGCATGAGGCTGTTTTTGCACCAAATTGAAGTAATCAGAGAACAGGAGAGTGCATTACTTCACTATGCAATACAGCATTTTAATAATGAAATTTTGAAAATTTTGAAATGAAAAATGTATTATAATGTTGAGAATTTATTTTAATTTCATGGCCCACCTGCAGGATCGCTGAGGCCCACTAGTGGGTCGCGGCCCACCGGTTGAGAATCCCTGTCCTAGAGGACTGATTATACCACCCTAAAGTACTGGCAGTCTCATCCTAAAGCACTGATAGCTCCGCCCTAAAGCACTGATAGCTCCGCCCTAAAGTACTGATAGCTCCGCCCTAAAGCACTGATTGCTCCACCCTAAAGTACTGATAGCTCCACCCAAAAGTACTGATAGCCCCACCCATAACGCAGTGGTAGCCCCACCCTAAAGGACTGATAGTTCCGCCCAATGGACTGATAGCTCCACCCATAACGCAGTGGTAGTCCTACCCTAAAGGACTGATAGCTACACTCTAAAGTACTGATAGCTCCGCCCAATGGACTGATAGCCCCAACCATAACGCAGTGGTAACCCCATCCTAAAGTACTGATAGCTCCGCCCAATGGACTGATAGCCCCACCCATAACGCAGTGGTAACCCCATCCTAAAGTACTGATAGCTCCGCCCAATGGACTGATAGCCCCAACCATAACGCAGTGGTAGCCCCACCCTAAAGTACTGATAGCTCCGCCCAATCGACTGATATCCCCACCCATAACGCAGTGGTAACCCCATCCTAAAGTACTGATAGCTCCGCCCAATGGACTGATAGCCCCACCCATAACGCAGTGGTAACCCCATCCTAAAGTACTGATAGCTCCGCCCAATGGACTGATAGCCCCACCCATAAAGCAGTGGTATCCCCATCCTAAAGTACTGATAGCTCCGCCCAATGGGCTGATAGCCCCACCCTAAAGGGCTGATAGGTAAGCGTGAATGCTGTATTTAGTAGATGGTCATTTTTCTGGAGTGATGTAGCCCACACTGCTCATTATTCGAGTGTTCTGCTGTTCTCCTGCCGTGATTCTGATTGAAATGTTGAGCTGATTGTTATTATTCTGGATGGAGAGTTATGTTTGTACGTTCAGCTGATTCTAGATCAGTCTATAATCAGATGTAGAGGATTGATGAGTGAGTTTCACACTCGTCCACAGTCTCCAGAAGAGCAAACTCACCATGATGATGATGTTGATGATGAAGACTTGAGCTCTGCGCTGGTGCAGCAGGAGCAGGAACACACACGCGTGCTGGACGAGCTCAGAAACACACACACACACACCAGCTGGAGATGCAGCAGGAGCAGAACACACACCTGAGCGCACAGATACACACACTGCAGCAGCGCCTCCTGCAGGTGTGTGTGAGCTGCTGTTCTGCGGTTGTTGCTACAAGGGATACAGCCGTGGCTGGAAGTTAACAAGAACTATTGATATGATTCATAACATTACCCATTAATTGTATCTAACCCTCAATAATTGGATCTGACCCTCACAGTGAGGTACAAATATTAATTATTGTTGTACAGTTTCAGTAAAATGGTGCTATATTGATGAGAGCATCCACAGCTGTATCCCTTCTAGACTCTCTCAGGAAACACTTCCACTTCCGCTTCCTCTCTGCTTCTTCTGCATGAAAGAAGAGCTCAGCAGTTCAACATGACCCTCTCCACCTCTAAAAATAACCTTCTCCAGCATCTTTTTCTTTTTTAAATGAGACATATTTCAGAATAAATTCCTTATTTTAATTTTAATGAATTTTAATGAAAAATATTAATAATTGAAAAATGTAATGTAATAATGTTCATTTAAATTAATTTAATTTTAAATGAGGTGTTTTAGTTTTTTTGTTTTCGTCATTATTTTGCTTAATATAAATGACATTTTGATTTTAAAATAAATCAATTTGCTTTTTAAATTTGATATTTAAAAACTCTGATATTGATTAGATTTTAATTTTATTTTTTTATAATAAATTTTTACTGTTTTAAAAAGTTTTAATATGAGTTTTCAACATTTGTTAATGCAATATACAAGATTCCAATGCCGTCTCATGTTTGTGATGATGTTTGCTGTGCTTCAGCGGCTGGATCAGCTCTGCATGGCTTTACTGTATGGACTTCACCGCTTCACTCTTCAGTTAAAGCTTCATCTGACTCTTGATTCTCTGTGTGTGTGTGTGTGTGTGTGTGTGTGTGTGTGTGTGTAACAGAGAGAGCAGGAGCTGCAGCAGATGAAGGACAGAGAAGACGACACTGAGAAACAACATCTGTTTCCTCACATGCAGAGCTGCAGCACACAGACACAGCAGGTAAACAGTGTGTGAATTATACCTTGACTGAAATATTTCTTCATTAACGTTACTCTGGAATACATGTTAATATTTCATTCAATTACATCTCATTTTTTTAAGTTGAGTTATTTTTTATTTTTTTATTTAAGTTTTGAGGGGTATCGAGTGTATCGACAGTATCCTCTGATTGGCTGTTTCAGCAGTTGTCTAATTATCAAAGATGGCCTACTTTTCTTGTGAAACAACTTATCAATAAATTCATTACCATTTAAATATTGCACTTATCATTTAATTGTTTAAGTTAACTTTCAGTTTGCCAGCAGATGTCTGTAAAATGCAAACTATGTTTGATTTATCTTTGATATTTATAATCTGTTATTAACAGACAGTGATTTTGGGCTCCCCTGCACTACTTAGGCACAATCAATAATTCATAATGGTTTGAACCATTATAGGGGAGGTCAAATGTGCATTTTATTAGCTATTATGTAAATTATTAATATAAATATTTAAGTTAAACATCAGAGGTAATATTTCTCACTATTTAAAAAACTGACACCCATTCATCTCAAATGGATGACCTTCAGGGATGATCAAGGGTTAATTAATGGGTTGAGCACACCTGTATTTCAGTGTAAACGGTGTCCTGCACCTCTCCCTCTGCTCCGGCAGGTGGCGCCGCTCTCCCTCTGTGTAGCTCAGTGTTGCTATAGCAGCGTGGAGCAGTGGATTTGTTTGTATTTGCCTATGTGAACTGTGCATCACTGTTTAAAAAGAGCTTGATGAAATGACGGGCTTCTTGTCGGCCGTTTCTTTTCTGCCTGTGCACAAACTCCAACAGAAAGATGAGGAGGAGGAGGCGGCGGAGGTCAGAGGTCATGGGCGGAGTGTGACATCATCACAGCCGTCTGGAGAAGAGCCAGAGCTGTCGTCTGATGACATCATCACTGAGAGGTCAGAATCAGTGGAGTTAGTGACGGATTCGGCACATTCTACAGCTCTGTGGGGTCATTAGAGGTGATGGAGGGGTGGATGAAAGGGTGGAGGGTTGGTTGCGGGGTAAGATTGGTGATAGGTGGATGGAGGAGTGAGTAAATGGATGGATGAATGAATAGATAAGTGGGTGGGAAATGTCTTGATTAGATGGATGGATGAAAAGGGGAAGGGCTGGATAGATAATGAATGGATGAATGGATAGATGGGTGGATTAGCATTGTGGATGGATGGATGACTAAATTGATGTATTGGTGGATGGATGGATTAGTGGATGGATGGATGAAAAGGTGGAGGGTTGTGTGCGGGGATGGATGTTATGTGGTGAATGAGTGGATGAATGGATAGATGGATGGATTGGGATTGTGGATGGATAGATGACTGAATGGATAGATTAGTGGATGGATGGATGAAAAGGTGGAGGGTTGTGTGCGGGATAGATGTTATGTGGTGAATGAGTGGATGAATGGATAGATGGATAGATTGGGATTGTGGATGGATGGATGACTGAATGGATAGATTGGTGGATGGATGAAAAGGTGGAGGGATAGATGTTATGTGGTGAATGAGTGGATGAATGGATAGATGGATGGATTGGGATTGTGGATGGATAGATGACTGAATGGATAGATTAGTGGATGGATGGATGAAAAGGTGGAGGGTTGTGTGCGGGATAGATGTTATGTGGTGAATGAGTGGATGAATGGATAGATGGATGGATTGTGGATGGATGGATGACTGAATGGATAGATTAGTGGATGGATGGATGAAAAGGTGGAGGGTTGTGTGCGAGATAGATGTTATGTGGTGAATGAGTGGATGAATGGATAGATGGATAGATTGGGATTGTGGATGGATGGATTACTGAATGGATAGATTGGTGGATGGATGAAAAGGTGGAGGGATAGATGTTATGTGGTGAATGAGTGGATGAATGGATAGATAGATGGGTGGATTGGGATTGTGATTGGATGGATGACTGAATGAATGTATTGGTGGATGGGTGGATAGATGGAATGGTGTACAGATGAAAAAGTGGAGTATTGGGTGTGGGATGGATTTCTGAGATGAATGAGTGGATGAATGGATAAATGGATATATTAGTTTTGTGGATGAATGGATGGATGAATGAATGAATCGATGTATATGTGGTTGTTTGGTTGGATAGATGGATTGGTGGATAGATGGATGAAAAGGTGGAGGGTTGGATGTTATGGGATGAATGAAAGAATGAATGAATAGCTGGGTGTGAGAGTTGTGTGGGTGGATGGATGCATAATGAATGGATGAATGGATTGGTGGGTGGATGGATGAAAAGATGGAGGGTTGGTTGCGGGGATGGATGTTATGTGATGAATGAGTGGGTGAATGGATAGATGGGTGGATTAGGATTGTGGATGGATGTATTGGTGGATGGATGGATGAAAAAGTAGAGGGTTGGTTGTGAAGATGGAGGTTTTGAGATGAATGAGTGGGTGAATGGATAGATGGGTGCAATAGGTTTGTGGATGAATGCATGGTTGAATGAATGTATAGGTGGATGGATGAAAATGTGGAGGGTTGGATGTTATGGAATGAATGAGGATGAATAAATAACTGGGTGCGATAGTTGTGTAAATGGATGGATGGATGGATAAGTGGGTAGATGGATAGGTGGATGAATGGTTGGGTAAGGGTGGATGGATGAAAAGGCAGAGAGTTGAGTGCGGGGATGAATATTAATGAGATGAATGAGTGGATGAATGGATAGTTGGATATGATATTTGTGTGGGTGTGTGGATGAATAAATGCACAGGTGGATGAATGAGTTAATGGGTGGGTGGAGAAATGAATGAGTGAAATGAATTGAAAGAGAAATGAAATGGTGATGTTTCTCTCCGTCAGGGATGGTCTGCGTCTGGTGAACGCTGGTCTCCGTCGGGTACTGATGGAGGTGCTGAAGACCACAGCGGCGGCGGAGCAGACCATCGGCACTCATGTGGAGGCCATACTGGAGGCGTCCAGCAGAGGGCAGCAGAGCAACACCGGTCAGTCACGCTGCTAACAATTAGTAATTTAGCATTGAGGTCTTCGCGCATGGAGTTCCAAATGTTCATGTATTTTTTTGTATTAAACTGCGTAAAATTGGTCAAACTTTGCACACCGAGTCACATGCTAATTAATCTCGAAATAATTCACAAGACAATTTAAAGTGCAGTCTTAACTAGTGAAGCTGATTCAAAACATGCTGATGAAAACACGTGCTGGAATAGTGGGTGGTTCATTCCGCTGTGTCGACCCCTGATTAATAATGGGACTAAGCCGAAGGAAAATGAATGAATGAATAAACATGATGATTACATCTGAACATTTTGGATACCTCTCTCTGCTAGATTAAAAGCTTCAACACCAGCAATGCTAACAGTTGCTTGCTGAGAAAATTGCTTGTGTGTGTGTGCGTGCGTGCGTGCGTGTGTGTTGCATTTTGCTGTATGCTGTTTAGTTTGTCAACATTTTCAGAGTGCTATAATAATATTATTTAAAGGGACAGGTTACCCTAACGCCCCATTCACACGGGGCGTCAGCGTTAACGCTTCCCATTCACTTTGAATGGGTGACGTCAGGCGTTGCCGAACTGCATTGTGGATCCGTCGATCAGGCGTTGCTCGCTGCAGAAGTTGGGACTAGCTCAACTTTTCAAGCGCCGACGGAAGCGTCAGCCAATCAGATCGCTGTATGCAAATACACCAGCTAGACAGTGGCCTCTTGCTGCCTGAATTTCATTGGCTGACATTTTGCTTCAGCCTCAACTTCAGACACGCCCTCAGTCAAGCGTTGACGCTGAAGCCCCGTGTGAATGGGGCGTAAAATGTAAAATGTGCGCACTATTTACTCTCCTTTACTCCTCTTCAAGTGTTTGTAGCCTTTATGAGTTTCTTTTTATCTGCTGAACACAAAAGAAGAGATTCTGAACAAAACCTGCGCCATAGAAAAGCAAACACTATTGGAGTCAGTGGTTAGGGGCTTTAGCATTCTTCAAAACATCTGCTTTTGTGTTCAGCAGATGAAAGAGACTCAAACTGGTTTCTAACAGGTGAAGGATGAGTAGATCATGACAGCTTTTTCATTTTGGGTGACCTGTGCTAAACTAAAATCTCAGTCATGTGGCACACTTCTTTGATATTTAAGCACCATAAAAATGTAGAAATCTGATCATTTGTAATAATTGCTAATATTCATATTTAACACACAATTTCACTGATATTAATAAATCTGTCATGTACGTGTGGTCAACATATAAATACTGCAAAAATATCAGTGTATGTATAAGTTTCAATCACTGGAATTACAAATGTGCACATGTTCAAATATATTACCCATAATTATACACTCACCGGCCACTTTATTAGGTACACCAAATTAGTACCAGGTTGGCCCCTTTTTGCGTTCAGAACTGCCTGAATTCTTCATGGCGTAGATTCTTCAAGCTGCTGGAAATGTTCCTCAGAGATTTTGCTCCATATTGTCATGATAGCATCACACAGTTGCTGCAGATTTGTCGGCTGCACATCCATGATGCCAATCTCCCGTTCCACCACATCCCAAAGCTGCTCTATTGGATTGAGCTCTGGTGACTGTGGAGGCCATTTGAGTACAGTGAACTCATCGTCATGTTCAAGAAACCAGTCTGAGATGATTGGTCAGCAACAATGCTCAATAATAGTAGGTAGGCTGTGGTGTTGATGCTCAATTGGTACTAATGGACCCAAAGAAAATCTCCCCCACACCATTACACCACCACCACCAGCCTGAAGCGCTGATACAAGGCAGGATGATCCATGCTTTCATGTTGTTGAGGCCAAATTGTGAGCCGAGCATCCGAATGTGTGAGCAGAAATGGAGACTCATCAGAGCAGCAACGTTTCTCCAATCTTCTATTGTCCAGTTTTGGTGAGTCTGTGTGAATTGTAGCCTCAGTTTCCTGTTCTTAGCTGACAGGAGCGGCACCCGGTGTGCTCTTCTGCTGCTGTAGCCCATCCGCCTCAAGGCTGGACGTGTTGTGTGTTCAGAGATGCTCTTCTGCAGAGCTCGGTTGTAGCGAGTGCTTATTTGAGTTACTGTTGCCTTTCTATCAGCTGGAGCCAGTCTGGCCATTCTCCTCTGACCTCTGGCCTCATCAACAAGGCATTTGCGCCCACAGAACTGCCGCTCACTGGATATTTCCTCTTTGTCGGAGCATTCTCTGTAAAGCCTAGAGGTGGTTGTGTGTGAAAATCCCAGTAGATCAGCAGTTTCTGAAATACTCAGAGCAGCCCGTCTAGCAGCAACAAACATGCCACTATCAGAGTCACTTAAATCCCCTTTCTTCCCCATTCTGATGCTCGCTCTGAACTGCAGCAGATCCTCTTGACCATGTCTACATGCCGAAATGCAGTGAGCTGCTGCCATGTGATTGGCTGATTAGACATTTGTGTTAATGAGCAGTTAGACAGGTGTACCTAATAAAGTGCACAGTATATCAGATTTCTGTACACTGTAAATGATATTACACATTTTTGTCTTGTTACTAGTCCAAATATTTAAAAATTATGAAATCGAAGCATTTTCTAGACAAATATAAAATAGTTTTAGTTTTGAGAAATATTGAGTTAAACATGAGTGAGCTTTTCCTTCAAACAACTAAATAATCTACCAATGGGGTGAGCAAACAATCTTGTTTTTGGCTTTAAAATAACATTATTTTGCTTGTTTTGAATAGAAACTCGCTTCATTTTGACTCTTTATTTCTAAACATGAATCACTCATGTATGAAATGCTTCTTGATATAATAATTAGCAGATATTTGGACTTGAAACCAGACGAAACTCGCATATATATTGCATGTAATATGAGCTGATCTGTAATGTAAACACAGTAAGCTGGTTTAGTTACAGATGTTAAAGCAGGATGTTTGTGTACAGTCACGGCAGAGCTGTTGTGTGTGTGTGTGTGTGTGTGTGTGTGTGTGTGTGTGTGTGTGTGTGTGTGTGTGTGTGTGTGTGTGTTAATAACAGTCGTCAGGGTGCTTTAATTGAGGCCTGCTCCTCCTGCAGGAACCAGATCAGATCCTGTCCGTCTCGTTTGTCTTTGTTGACTCATTGTCTTTGCATAGAGATGTGTTTGTGTGCTGTTCTGAAGCAGTCATGTGACCCCCTGGGTGTGTGTGTGTGTGTGTGTGTGCAGTGTTTACTCTGGTCATCTCATGTATTCTGTGATCAAATATGAGACGGACACTCCTGTAACTCGACACACAGAAAGCCCCTGAATGAAACCTGCTCTTCATTGTGTGCGCTTTACTCCTTCACCCCCCGTGACTCTTCTTTTGGTTTCATCCGCTGTCGGTGTGTTTAAACATCACATGCTGGATTGGGGGAAACCATTATATGAGACGTTTTCCAAAGTCAAGCTATTGTTAAGCAGAGTTACACTGCCGCTCAAGCTCAGCTTTCATTTCATATTGAAAAAGTCCCTTTTGAGGCAGCATGGTGTCTTAGTGGTTAGCACTGTGGCCTCACCGAAAGAGGTCGCTGGTTCGAGTCCCGATATAAGTTTGCATGTTCTCCCCTTGTTGGCGTGGGTTTCCTCCGGGTGCTCCGGTTTCCCCCACAGTCCAAACACATGCGCTATAGGGGAACTGATCAACTACACTGACCGTAGTGTATGAGTGTGTGTGTGAATGAGTGTGTGGGGGTTTCCCAGTACTTGGTTGCTGCTGGAAGGTCATCCGCTGTGTAAAACATATGCTGAAATAGTTGGTAGTTCATTCCGCTGTGGCGACCTCTGAAATAGAGACTAAGGAAAATGAATGAATGTTCTTTTTGATCCTTCAACACAGCATTCAGTTGCTCATGAACAGGGCCAGACGGAATCTGCGGACGTTTTTTGCTATTTCAGCGGGGAATTTTGGTAAAAATCTGCGGATTTCTGCTGAATTATTTTGGAAGTATCCAGCAGAGTATCATAACTAAGACTTTAATATATGCAATAAAAAGTAATAAATTACTAAATAAAAACTGAATAAATTCAGATTTACACATTTACTCAAGTAAATAAACAGAATTAATAATGGGCTAAAATCAGCGGAAATCTGGGGAATTCTGCATGCACAGATTCTGTGTGGGCCTACTCATAAATAATAAACTCCATTTTTGATATTTTGATTATGTATTTTTGTCATTAAAAAGTCACAGTTTAAAGTAACTGCTTAATGTTAGTGTAATTAAAAATTATATTTTTTCAGTCATAAAATACACAAAAATAAATGACATGTTTAAATTAGTTAAATGTATATATTAATTAATAAATTATTTATTTATTAATGATTATATAATTATTAATAAATAAATACATTTATAGCACAATTTTATTTACATGTTTTTTGCATCTTTTCATAAGCAAGGTTAATTTCACTCAATCAAATCCAGAGTGTAAATTGTAAAACATTATTAAATATTAACAGGCTGTTTTCTGTGTGAACATATAGTGAAGTGTAAATTATTTCATGAAATATTAATAATCATTATCAGTGTTGAAAAAAGTACATATTAAATCTGGGAATTTACACATGAGAAAAGCCAAAAATGTGTTTGTAGCATTTTAAATATCATCGTAAATATTTTTATTGTAACTTTTATTTAATTTAATGCATATTTAATAATTAAAAATTACATATATATATATATATATATATATTTTTTTTTTTTGTCAATAATGTATTCAATGAGGCAGGTTATTCAGATATATTAAACCCCTTATGTATGTATGTATGTATGTATGTATGTATGCATGTATATATTTGTAAACATTTTATAATATTATATATTAATATATATATAATATATATAATATAATAATATAATATTATACCTATTCATTTTAAATGTAATTCAATTAACACATTTAGCAAAGTTGTTGCTAGAGGGGATACAGCTGTAGCCGGAAGTCAACAAGAATTATTTACATTATTTATTAATTATTGTCCATGAATTGTATTTTATTAACATCTACCCCTGACCCCAACCATCACAGTACTGTCAAAACAGTAATTATAAGGGGAATTATTTACATTATATCCGTCTCTGCTGGGTCAGTTGGTGTTTGTGTGTGGAGTTTGCATGTTCTCCCCGTGTTGGTGTGGGTTTCCTCCGGGTGCTCCAGTTTCCCCCACAGTCCAAACACATGCGCTATAGGGGAACTGATCAACTACACTGGCCGTAGTGTATGAGTGTGTGTGTATGGGTGTTTCTCAGGATAGGGGTTGCAGCTGGAAGGGCATTCACTGTGTAAAACATATAATGGAATAGTTGGCGGTTCATTCCACTGTGGTGGCCCATGATGAATAAAGTCTCCACCCTCTGGATGCACATAATAGTACAACAATGATGAGCACGTCAAGTATAAATCAAGCTTTACTCTATTTTCATCTGTTTTCTTTAATGATAGTGACACATTTAGCGGTGTTCAGAGTTTTCTGTGTGCTGTTTCTGACTTGGGATTGTAATGATAGCGAGCGTGCAGTGCTATAATCTCTTGTTTTGATGCGTTTGCTCATCGTCTCCAATGTTCACTTGTTTTTAATTGTTCTCCTGCACACAGATGCGTCCTCAGAGGGTTTTCTCAGCCGTGATGTGGCTGCAGACCGACTCCGCATGTTTTCTGCTGACACTGAGATTGATGAAGGCCTGGAGACATCGCTGAAGGACCAAGGGGCGGAGCTACAGCTGCAAGAGGCGGAGCTACAACTTGAGAGGGAGGAGTTTCAGACGAGCATCAGCACACGCCTGCAGAGCGCCGTGGAGAAACTGCTGATCGCCATCACTGAGACCAGCACTCAGGTACAGCAAGCACACAGGGACACGCGCTGTTTTGTTTTACTCTGCAAGCATGCATCACATCCATCGGGAGTAACAGTACAGACTTGATTCTGTTTCAAATAAGAGCTGCTCATCTGTGAGTCCTAAAAAATTAAAGTGTGTCACAAAAATATGAAGCAGCGCAAGCAGTTGCAAGTTTGGAGTAAGGTAGATATTTCAAAAAAAAAAAAAAAAAAAAATATATATATATATATATATATAATATATTTATTGTCAGTTATGCATTAAATCAGTCAAAAATCATAACAGGGCAGGGCAAGTTTATTTATATAGCACATTTCATATGAAATGGCAATTCAAAATGCTTTAAATAAACAAGAAAATAAAAATAATAACATTAATTAAAAATAAAAACAGATTAAAATATGCTAAAACAAGATTAAGTGAAGACATTTGTGATGCTGCACATGATGCTGTTAAAATAAAGGAATTCTGAGCAATAAATGTGCATCACAAAAAAAAAAAATACACACACATATATACACACACACACACACACACACACACACACATATATATATATACATTAGGTTTTTTATATATATATACATTAGGGGTTTTATATATATATACATTAGGGGTTTTATATATATATACATTAGGGGTTTAACGGTTCACAAAAATCACTGTTTGGTTCGATACAGTGGTGTCACGGTTCGGTACGTGTTCAATACAGCAAAAACAGAATAAAGCCAGAGGATTTCTCTGATTTAATTTTTTTACTGTATTAAAACTAACATCAGAAAAGTTTGATCTTGTTTGTTTTTTCTTTTACTGTAAACCGTGATATACAGCTTTACATCACAGAAATAACTGACACTTTACTATATATTCACACAGACAAGAGCTGTTTTAATATTCAATTTTATTTCACAACTTTTCCTCAGTTTTTTATTGTGTAAAATCAACCTTGAGTAGCAAAACACAATACAAAAGCATGTAAAACTGTAAAGGTTTGAATACTATCAATCAGAAGCTCAGGAGTGTGTGTGTGTGTGTGTTGTGCTCTGGAAACAGCAGCGGGTGTATATAAGCACTCAGAGGTCAGATATGTTGGATAAACACACACACTGATGATGCTATTGAATGAAGGACACATGTTCTGCTCAGTGGGCGGGGCCTCCTGCTCTGGTTGCTCTTGGAGACCAGCTGATTTGCATAATGCTTTGGTCTCTGTGACAGCAGCTGAACAACGCCCCTGTGTATCTCTCCTTGTGTGTGTGTGTGTGTGTGTAAAGTGAAACCACATTTCCTAAGGGTTTATTTTCTCTTCCTGGCTTGATAAACATCTCTGAATCTGCTGAAGGACTGAATTTGCCTGTCTTATATATTGATATTGATATTTTGATATTGTGTGTGACACATTGTAAGATCAGATCAGATCCTGTTTGACTTGAAATGTGAGTAAAGTCAGGTGTGCTTTATGTCTGGAGTTTTACACAATGCAGATTGACTGAAATGCACAATAGGAGCGCTGCGTCTGTCAAAATGTTGTTCAATTATAAATAATAACAAAGTTATAGTTTTATAAATAACATATGAGCAAGATAAAAAGCAAACTTATTAGTGTAAAACAAGGGAAAACACATAGGATTAAATACATTTAAATAATATTTAAAATAAACTAATATTTAATCATATTCAAAATGGTCTGAAAATAAATAAAGTAAATTAATAAAATCTTGAGATAATAAAAATATGAAGAGTGTTCAACATTAATATTAATCATAAATATTGATTTTTATTATTAAATCTACGTACTATATAATAATAAATAATAATAATTATAATAGAAACATAGATAGCTTTATAAATAACAAATATTTTCTTAAAAATCCAAATAAAAACAAACTAATCAGTATGAAAACAAACTAGGAAATACACATTGGAATTGAATAAATGTATATAATATTTAAAATAAAACAATGTTTAATGTTATTTAAAATGGTCTGAAAATAAATAAGTAAATTATTTAAATAAATTTAAATTATTACAGTTAATAACTGATGTGTAAATAAATATATAACTATAATATTGTTAAAATTTGTTTAAATGTTATTCAAAGTTTAATGAAAACAAATCATGAAAAAATAAGATTTTTTTACTTTAAGTCTTTTTTTAAATTTTCTTTAAAATTTTTAAAAAACATTTCAACAATTTATAAAATCCTTAATTTGTGTAATATTTAAAATAAAATAATATTTCATGTTTAATGTTATTCAAATTGTATAAAAATTTGTTAAAATAAAAATAAAATAAATAACTAATATTAATATAACTAATAATATTATTACAATTAATAAAGGATATTTAAATAACTGCATATTTATAGCTATAATATTGTAAAAACAACACATTTATAAATATAAAATGTTCTTAAAATTTTACTGAAATTAGTTTACTTTATTAAGTTATGTTTCATGATTTGTTTTCATTAATATTTGAACAGCATTTACTGTAAGCAATTTGTAAAAAATGTCTTATTTATACAATATAGTTCTATATTTACACATTTATTTACACATCAATTATTAATGTTAGTATTGTTTATATATGTTTTTGTTAAATTATTACAGTGAATAATCAGAATGTAAATCAATACATAAATAAATAGTATAATAAAGAGTAGAAAAATTCTAAATTATAATTAAAACAACTTGTTAAAAATGTAATATTTTACTAATTATTTATTTAAACCATTCCTAATATTATTTCTAAAGTTTCACTTAGTTTAATTAAATACCTGTGGCTTAATAAAGGTTGAGGGTGGCACGGTGGCTCAGTGGTTAGCACTGTGTCCTCAAAGCAAGAAGGTCTCTGGTTTGAGTCCCGGCTGGGTCAGTTGGTGTTTCTGTGTGGAGTTTGCATGTTCTCCCCGTGTTGGCGTGGGTTTCCTCCGGGTGCTCCGGTTTCCCCCACAGTCCAAACACATGCGCTATAGGGGAACTGATCAATTACACTGGTAATAGTGTGTGTGTGTGTGTGTGTATGAGTGTTTCCCAGTACTGGGTTGCTGCTGGAAGGGCATCCGCTGTGTAAAACATATGCTGGAATAGTTGGTGGTTCATTCCACTATGGTGAAATTTTTGACTGAAATCAGCAACCTTCTTGCTGTGAGGCCACAGCGCTAATCACTGAGCCACCATGCCGCCCTGTTTGATCTAATCTGAGGCAAATGTGTGTGTGTAAAAGCCAGTGGATGGATACGGCGCTCGAGTGCAGAGCTGATGTGGTGTGATGGAGCAGCAGAGCAGATCAGTGCAGGCTTCATGTCTGATAATAGCTGATCATCATGTAGAGGCTTGATCAGGAATGAGGAGGAGAAACACTGATCAATAATCTCAGCATCCGTCTGACCAGAAAACCATTACTGAAGACTATCAACATTCCTGACTGTCAACCGTGTGTGTGTGTGTGTGTGTGTTAAACGGTGGAGCTGGAATCCTGCAGGACAGGCTGCTGCTGATGGGTGTGTGTGTGTGTGCGAGAGAGAGAGGGAGAGGGAGTATTAGTGAGTGTGTGTGTGTGTGTGTGTGTGTGTGTGTGTGTGTGTGAGTGAGAGAGATACAAAGTGTTTTTGAGTGTGTGTGTGTGTGTGTGTGTGTGTGTGTGTGTGTGTGTGTGTGTGTGTGTGTGTGTGTGTGTGTGTGTATTTGTGTGAGAGAGGTCGGGTGTTTGTGTGTGTGTGTATGTGTACAAGAGAGACAGAGTGTATGTGTGCCTGTGAGAGAGAGAGACAGTGTGTTTGTGAGTGTGTGTGTGTGTGTGTGTGTGTGTGTGTGTGTGTGTGTGTCTGAGAGAGAGAGTGTGTGTATTTGTTTGTGTGAGAGAGGGTGCATTAGTGATTGTGTGTGTATGAGAGAGAGAGAGTGTGTGTGCGTGTGTTTTAGTAAGTGTGTGTGTGTTTTAGTGAGTATGTGTGTGCCTGTGTATGAGACATTTAAGAAGAGAGAGTGTGTGTGTGTGTGTGTGTGTATTCGCCCATCTATTCACCTGTAGAGAGAGAGAGAGAGAGAGACATAGAAACACACACACACACACACACACACTCCCCCGCGCGGCTCTGCTCTCCTGTTAATGAGGCCCTGCTCTTTCCCAGCGGATCGTTGCCGTGGAAGCCTGGAATTGCTAATGAGTGTCCTGTAACCGAGGGAAACACAACGACAGAAACCACGGCAACACTCTTTGCCCTCAACTTTGCTCTCTGGAACGACTCGAGGACACACTGGAATATTGTGTGTGCGCGTGTGTTAGTGTGTGTGTGCGTCTAAAGCAATGGTAACTCATTGTAAGTAGCTCCTGGATCAGTGCGCGCGTTAGTGTGTGTGTGTGTGTGTGTCTGAAGCAATGTTAACATAACTCCTGGATCAGTGTGTGTTAGTGTGTGTGTGTGTGTGTAGAGTAATGTTAGCCCACAGTGAGTATCGCGCGCTGCATTAGCCGGTATGGACTCGTACCGCTCGTACTGGAGCTCCCCTGTGCTGCGGGACGGCTGGCTGGAGACTCAGGATCAGGATCTGTATGAGGTGGAGTCCCGCATCCCGCTGCCCCGGCCGTTCCCGCTGACGCCGCTGCTGACGGAGAGGAACGCTGTGGTGGTGCAGACCCAGATCTCACACGTGCGGCAGCGGCGGGACGGCGGGCACCTGCTGAAGGTGGTGTCACGGATCTCCCTGCCCACGCCTCCATACACCGTGAGTCTGACACCGGGAGAGAGAGAGGGGCTTATGTGTCTGCACACGCTGATAACAGCTGCTGTACACCTCCACTCGCTATAATCAGATTCCAGGGTGTGTTTATGGCTGCGTGTGTGTGTGTGTGTGTGTGTGTATGTGTGTGTGTGTGAGAAAGGTTTTGTGTTTGTGGTAACATGAGAATCGTCTCACAGTCATGGTTTGTAATCTGGCTTTCACTTCAGTCTTTTTTAGTTAAATTCACATTATTACACTGCAGAAGATGTGTTTCTTAAAGTTTAGAGCTGTTATTAATATTAATATTTAGTTAAATGTACACTATTACACTGCAAACAATGTGTTTTTAAGAGTTTCGAGCTGTTATTAATGTTAATGTTTAGTTAAATTCACTGATATTACTCTGAGTAACTAATATTATTTACTGTTTTAGTTAAATTCACACTATTACACTACAAAACATTGTGTTTTTCAAAGTTTACTGTTTAGTTAATTTCACTGATATTACTGTGATTACCTGCTATTATTAGTTTTTTACTTAAATTCACACTATTACACTTCAGAAAATGTGTTTCTTAGAGTTTAGAGCTGTTATTAATATTAATATTTAGTTAAATTCACAAATATATCTACTATAATTACTATGTTTTAGTTAAATTGACTATACAATGTGTTTTCCAGAGTTTGGAGCTGTTATTAACATTACTGTTTAGTTAAATTCACTGATAATTCTACTATTATTACTACTTTAGTTAAATTGACATTATTACACTGCAAACAATGCTTTCCTGTAAATAAACCAATATTTTACACTTGTTTAAAAATTCTGAAATCAAAAAGCCTGTTCTAGATATTGGAACTATAAACAAGACAAAAACACGAAGCAAGAACGGCATTTTTGCAGTGTAATGATGTGAATTTAATTTGGGCCTGTGGATTTGCTCTTCAGTGTTTGGACTTTCAGCAGTGAGAATTAAACCACACTGAACTGAACTAAACTGAACGCTGAAAACTGGACTCACAGTTTCAATATAATAATATAATATAATAATATAATATAACAATATAATAATATAATATTATAATTTCGAAATTTAACTAAAAAGTAATATTAATAACTCTAAAAACACATTTTCTGCCGTGTAAATGTGTTCATTTAACTAAAAAGTCATTTAAAAAGTTGCTTTTCTTGCTTGGAGTTTTTGTCTTGTTTTTAATCCTAATATAGAAACATTCCTAAACCAAGAAGCATTTTCTAGACGAGTGTAAAATATTGTATTGTTTTCAGAAATGAAGAGTTAAAAATTGTAGATATTTAAACACGAAACGCTTTTTTGTTTTAGCAGTGTGTATACTGACTTCAGACAGAATCTGTGGGCATTTTTGACGAGTCTGCAGATTTTTGTGGGAGGATTTTGAGAGTGTAGAAACTAAAAACATGAAATATAAATAATCACATCTTAACTTTTATTCAATGTTTCCAATGCAGATCCAATTACTTCCACTTGTCAAGTTTGTCATTTATTATAAGGGTTTTGTGTTTATGGTAACATCAGATCTGTCTCTGCTTGTGGTTTATAATATCCGACTTTTTACTTCAGTCTTTAAAATGCATGAAGACCAGCGTTTATATAGAGTTTTTAGGTAACACTTCATTTTAAGTCTCAATTCACAATATGAATAAACCATTAACTAACACTACCAGCTTAATAAACTACTAATGAGCTGTTTATTGCTGTTTATAACTGCTTATGTTAACAGTTAGTAATGTAGTAGTTGTGTTTAGGCTGTGGGTAAGATTAGAGATGCAGAATAGCATCATACTTTATAACTACTAATGAACAGCTCATATCTTAATAATAAGCAGGTAGTAAGACAGTAGTTAATAGCCTAAACTAAAGTGTTAGCAGTTTTAGACACATGATACAGAAATAGCACACAGAAATCACTCCACATAGCTCAAAGTAGCTGTTTTCTGTGTGAATATACAATAAATTGTCATTTCATTCTGACTGAATGTGTGTGTGTGTGTGTGTTGTGGAAGTCTTGCGGTTAAACACCGTCTGATCAGCAGGAGGACATTTAATATGACAACAAGTGCATAAACAACATTGAAACATCACTAATAATCAAAACAGCTGTTTGTTTATGTGAATGTCTAGTAAAGTGTCATCTACATCTGTGACGTGAAGCTGAATTATCAGGATCTTTTCTCCAGTCTTCAGTGATCCTTCAGGAATATCAGTATAATATTCAGAAAAGCAGAAATCCTGCAGTGTAATATGAGAATCTGATGAGCAATGAACATTTCTGCTTATGATGTTGATGATTATAGTGATAAAGCAGTGGTAAATTATGATTTATTCATAGAAACATAAAAGAAGATGTTTTGAAACATGTTGGAAACCTGTAACCATTGACTTCAGTAGTATTTGTTTCTACTTTAGAGTTCAATGGTTACAGGTTTTCAGAGTTCATCATAATATTTCCTTTATCGCCGTGTCGAACTGCTGAAACTCAAAGCGAACGTCATTTCAGAGTGATTGTGTTCATAATTAAATCATTTCAGTTCCTTCTTCAGCTTCATTTGAGGTTTACCGGGGTCTCGAAGAGTCTCAGTACATGATGTAGAGTGAAATCTGTTTCTCTCTCTGTGTGTGTGTGTGTGTGTGTCAGCTGGAGCATGCGCGCATCACGCAGACCGAGCTGTTGAGGGAGAAGTTCAGACACAATGAGGAGATGGAGGAGCTGCTGCGCCGTCAGGAGGAGCTGCAGGAGCGAGTGTGTGAAGAGGAGAGAGCCAGAGAACAGCTGGCCCTGGAGCTGCACAGAGCTGAAGGTGTGTGTGTGTGTGTGTGTGTGTTTGCTTTTGTGTATGCGCATCCGTGTCTGTCTGTGTCTGAGTGGCTTTTATTGAGGACAGTTGGTGACAGCAGTGACTGGTACTTCAGAAAACACACACACACACACACACACACACACACACACACACACACACACAGACCAGTAGCTGGACATTCAGGGTGTACTCACACTAGGCTTGATTGCCTTGAACTGTGCCTGGCTGTGATGAACCCCGACCTGCACTCACACTGCATTTGAACCTCCTGATCACGCTTCCGTCATCAATGACGAGACTGTTCAGTTAACAGGAGAGAAGCGCTCTCGCTCAGCACACTGGGCATTGCTGTAGTGAGATTGTTTTGAACAGATCCAGCACTTTTGATGCTCGTAAATGATCATGAAGTCCTCGTGCTGCAGGTATGAGGAGGTCTGCTGAAGGTGCAGCTGTCGTTCAGTGAGGGGTTTGTGTCTTTATCTTTATGGCCTGTTTCCACTGAGTGGTACGGTACGGTTTGGTACGCTTTTATGGCCGTTTCCACTGTCAAAAGGAACCAAAAAGCGAACCGTACTGCAGGACTTTTTGGGTTCCCTTTACCTAGCACAACAGGAGTGTTCCAAAAGGCAGAGCTAGACGTGCAGCTGAACGCTATTGGTGTACAGTAGTGATGGGAAGTTCCACTCATTTTACGAGTCGAATCTTTGAGTCTCGTTCATCAAGATGAATCTTTTTTCTAATCATTTCGTTCATTTGGTTCAGTTTGCTAAAATATTATTAAAATGTTACGAATTGCTTCCAAACCATCTACAACTAGCCCAAAAGGTTGATCACACGACAAATAAGGCATGAATAGAATACTATAAGAAGGAGAAAATAATACTTCAATGTTGACCTGAACTTTTGTCAATGAAGGCATTTCTGTCTCTTTGCTCAGCTCAGCTCTTCATGTCTTCAAATGTCAGGGGTTCGTTCGCGTTACACTGACAGTCACATATAATCTTAACCAATGTACACAGTCTGAGCTGATAGGAGCCATGATGATGAGTTCACCTTTCAAGTCTGGAGTCGTTCGTTATTTACGTGACAGAATGACTCAAACCTGAGGACTCGAGAGATGAACAGTTCAATTCTTTTACCGGCTCTAAACCTGTATGATTGGCCCGTGAGGAACGAGTGACTCAGACCCGATAGAGCAGGGTTTCTTAACTGGTGGGTCGCGACCCAAAAGTGGGTCGCGGGAACATTTTCAGTGGGTCGTGAAGTGTGTGGTCAAAAAAAAACAACAAAAGTTTAATTTTTTAACTCATTTTGACTTTTATTTTGAAATGCGTGCACGACCACCCTACCGTTTGACACGTGAAATTTAATTTAATTATAGCAACAAATAAGTCGAAGCGCAAGTACGACCCGGAAAATGTAAAGTATGAATTTACATATATTGACGACAGAAAAGACTTAAAGCCTCAGTGTGTCATAAGTAGCGAGGTGCTCTCACAAGAGAGCACGAAACCTTCTAAATTAAAACAACATTTAGAAACCAGACAACGTGTTTTATTAACTTAAAATTAAACTTTGTTTTATTAATTAAAGTTCTGTTTAGTTCATAGTAACTAAACCTTTCATTACCCTAAACACTGTTTACAGTATTTGCCGTTTTTACTTTGTAATATTTCTATAATTTGATACATTTTGTTAAATGACATCAATACAATATTGTTTATTATTAAGTCTTGGTGATTTTATTTTGATTTATCTGTCACTACTTGTGTATGTTAACAAATAAATACAAATTAAGTATAATTCCTAAAATTGTATTATAGTTCCTAAAAATTTGGGTCGTGGCTTGATGACCATGTAAAAATGTGGGTCCCATGGCCAAACCAGTTGAGAACCCCTGCGATAGAGGACTCCAGAGATGAATGGATTAATTCTTTTTCCGGGTTTAAACGCATATGATTGGCTCCTGCCTTTCCGCGATGAACGACTCGAAATGTGATGAAGACTTGAAATGAACGATATTACCTACACAAATGTGCGCACGCGCGGATGAACGAATCACTCCCTGACAGGACTCGTAGTTCCCGAGTCATATTGAAGATTCATTCAAAATGAACGAATCGTTCATGAACGACCCATCACTAGTCTACAGAGAAACGTCACCAGCGCAAACACAAGCAGGAGAATGAAAACAAAGGAAGCGACACATTTAAACACACAGCCGAGACGTTACACCGTGATGATATGCACATATAATAACAAGCCATGGCCGACCCGAGCTCAACCAAACCTCGCCGTCGTCTTGATGAACAGCCGCAAAGCCAAGAAGAACAGAATCTGCCGTGTCCCGCTGTCGTTTTATGAGTTCGTCTAAAAGTGCGAGCGGTTTCGCTTTCTGCAGAGAGCTCGCCGCGTGTGAAATAACCAACTTCTTAAACTCAATTGGGTAGGCTAAATTGTGTATGAGTGTGAATACGTGTGTATGGGTGTTTCCCAGAGATGGGTTGCAGCTGGAAGGGCATCCGCTGCGTAAAACTTGCTGGATAAGTTGGCGGTTCATTGCACTGTGGCGACCCTGGATTTATAAAGGGACTAAGCTGAAAAGAAAATGAATGAATGAACTACTTTGGGGTGTCCAAACTCAGTCCTGGAGGGCCGCTGTCCTGCTGAGTTTAGCTCTAACTTGCTTCAACACACCTGCTAGGAAGTGTCTAGTACACCTAGTGCGAGCTTGATTAGCTGCTTCAGGTGTGTTTGATTAGGGTTGGAGATAGACTCTCCAGGACACTGGCCCTCCAGGACTGAGTGTGGACACCCCGACTTAAACTGATGATAATAAGATGCCCGTGATTATTGAAGAGCTTCTGACACCCGATCCTTTCAGAAACAGACGAGAGTGATGTGGGAAAAACAAAGGAGCAAATGATTCTTTCAGCAACCTAAAAGATGAACACATGACTGCCATGATTAACTGGTATCATCAGCTTCAGGACTATTCTGAACTGGGAATGATGGAGTTCCTCTCTATCAGAGGCTACACGAGCTGCTGAAGCTTACACACACAGATGAGAGGTCTGCTCGGACTGTGGGCTATATATTGTGTTGTTTTGAACCCAAATAAGGCCTAAATGTCTGCTGTGTGTAGTTCATCTGTAATTGGTAACATATCAGAGACTGTAAGAGTGTGTGTGTGTTCATTTATGTATTTATTTTATATAATCGCAGACGTTACAGTAGGCTATTCACAGTGTCATTGACCTGCAGATATGATCAGATCATGTTGATGAAAGGTCAGTGATGAACATTTATGCAGTGTTTATGTGTGTAAAGCATCTGTTTAGTGAGAAGTGCTGCTCATATGATGTGTGAGCGACCCGTACAGCTTTACTCTAGACATTTCCTCCAGTGAGAATGACGTCGTCTGACACTTGCTGTCGTACACCACGTTCACCATACGCACCCTTTTGGCAGTGGAAATGCAAGACTGATAAAGGTGACCCGTACCAATCTGTACCGTACAACTCAGTGGAAATGGGCCACTAATAAACTATGATAGTTCACGTTCATTGAAAAGTAAGAATGATTAATAAATCCATGTGAAACAGTCTGTTTACAGTCTGGCTCGGAGCACTTACACTCAAACAACCGAACCGGGATAATGATGGTCAAACACACACGGGCGTGTTGGAGTACACCCTTGGGGGTATTCGAGTGCGGTCATAGTGACGCTGTTTGTTATGTATATATATATAAATGTGTGTGTGTGTGTGTGTGTGTGTGTGTGTGAATTGCCATGTCATAAATGTCCCAGTGAGCTCGAGTTTGTTAGCTAGAGCTCAGTGTTTACCGTTGTGTCACAAGACGCTGCTGTCCAGTGTGTGTCACATGAGCTGATGGTTTGTGCAGGGTGTGTTTCTGTGTGTGTGTTTGCTCAGTTCTCTCTCATCTGTCATAATAAAGCTCAGGTGATCATCATTCCTCCACAGCGCACCTGTTTCTCTCTCAGCTCAGCTGATAGTGCTCTCTGATAGACACGCTGTATATAAATCTAAAAGATAGCCTGATTTATCATCAGACTTCAGCATTGAGTCAGAGTAGTTAGAGGGAAGTTGAAATTAATTTTTATTTTAAGTTGAGAGGTGGAAACATCAACAAAATTCAACTTGGTGGACATAAACGGAAATAAAAATGTAGAGGTTTGAGGAGGATTTGTGGAAAATAATCTCAGGCAACAAACAGTCTTACTTGTACCAGATATGAAATTCAGTTAACTCAAAATCCAGAGAAAGAAATCAGAAGTGCAAGATGTAAATTCTGGACATAAACTCTAGAAAAATCTAATCATAAATTCAGAGAAAAAGTTATGAGGTGTAAACTCAAATTCTGAGACATATTTAGGCATAAGCCCAGAATTCCAAACAAACATCCCAGAATTATGAAACATATATAACAAACATATATAAACATTATAACAAAAATTCCAGAATTCTGGAAAAAAAAGTTTGGACTCGCCACAAAAATCTTGTTTAAAGAATTTTGTTAAAAAAAGCAAAACAGACTTCTGCAAAAAAAGTCAGAGTTTTGAGATGTAAACTTTGTTTTTATTAAACTAAAATTCAGAATTATAAAACCTGAACTTCTGAAGAGAAAAAAAGTCAGAAAACTTTGAAATCCAAACAAATTCTGGAATTATAGTAATAATCCTATAATTCTGAAAAAAAAGTCCAAAAAAGTTCAAAAGAGAAATACCAGAACTATGAAACATGAACTTAAAAAGTGGAATTCCAAACAAAAAAAAAAAATCTGCAATTCCCCCCCCCCAAAAAAAAAAAAAAATATATATATATATATATATATATTAAAAAATCAAATAAATCTGTAATTTCCAATAAAAAAATCTAGAATTTCCACAAAAAAAGAAAAAAAAAATGAAATTCTCAATAAAAAAAAAATCTGGATTTTCCAACAATAAATAAATAAATAAATCGGAAATTCTCACTAAAAAAAGTTTGAAAAAAATTTTAAAAAATCTGGAATTCCTAAACTAAAAATTATAAAATCTGGAGTTCTGTACAAAAATCTGGAATTCCTAATAAAAAAAAAAATCTGGAATTCCGAACAAAAATTTCAGAATTCCAAACAAAAAATAATAAAATTCGGAACAAAAAAAAAATCAGTAATTCCCAACAGCAAGAAAAGTTTGGATTTTCAAACAAAAATTCTAGAATTCCGAGAATAATGTAATAACAAATTTCGGAAATAATGCCTGAAATGATGAATGAAGTAAACATTAAAAAAGGCAGAAACGGATGATGAAAATGAACTCTGATGTATAAATGAAGATTAATGTTGCTGCAGTGTGTGTGGAATGCTTTAATAGTGTTAATTGTGGTGACCTACATTAGTGTGTGTGTGTGTGTGTGTGTGTGTGTGTGTGTGTGGTTTGCTGTATTATTCCTCCTCCTGCGTGTCTGTACTCGGCTGGTGTTGTGTTTCCAGCAGCAGATGCTCCTCTTTACTGAAGTTTGCTCAGGATTGGTCACGGCTGCTGCTTTTACATGCAGAACTAATGCCATTATACACAATTAGAAGAATTCTCCTCGCAATTGTTCCCTCAGGAATGTGTTTGGATTCTGAGTTATGAGACGCCGAGCAGTTTGAGAGACGAATAAACCCTAGCAAACTGTTGATGCATATTTTAAAAGTTGAACTACCACCATCTTCTGACAGAGCAGGTTATATTTAAGATATAGAATTATAATGTTGTATACTTTTTTACAGTAAATAATATGATTTTATTTTTAAGCTTATGCTTTTACATGTATAAAATATGTGTATTTTTATTGACCATATTTATTTAACTTTTTTAATTTTACTAAAATTGTTTTGTTGGTTTTATTTAGATTTTAAGTGTTATTTTTTTCTACTTGGATTGTTTTTATTTTAATTCCACGTTTAAATATTTTAATTTAACTTTATTCTATTTTTAGATTTTTATAATTATAATTTATTTTATTTTATTTTACATGTATTTTTTGATGTATTTTTAAATAATTGCCTTTCATGCGTTTAATTCTATTATACATCTTATTTAGTTTTGTTTTAATTTATTTTATTTTAAAATGATTTTAATTTCATCTATCAATGATTATTTACAGTATTTTAATTTGTGTTTGTTTTGAAATAATTATTCTTCGATGTATATCTCTGTGATTTTGTTTATTTTTAGCTATTTGTTTTAAATAAGGTTTATTTTAAAATATTGTTATAATTGTTCAACTTTAAGCTTCTGTCATGACTAGTGCTCTAGTGTGTGTGTGTGTGTGTGTGTGTGTGTGTGTGTGTGTGTGTGTGTGTGTGTTTGTGTTTACATGTTTACAGTATGCCACTCTTTTGTTTGGTTTGTCTGATGCTTCACTCTGACCTCATTTCATTTACAAACGACCTTAAACAGCTTCAGAGCTGTTAAATATTCATGAGCTGTGTGTGTGTGTGTGTGTGTGTGAGTGTGTGTGAGTGTGTGTGAGTGTGTGTGTGTGTGTGTGTGTGTGTGTGTGTGTGTGTGTGTCTGACCCTCAGCAATGACTAACCTGTGTGTGTGTGTGTGTGTGTGTGTGTGTGTGTTACTGAACTTTAAACTAGTGAGAGTAAAACCATCAGGAAATGGGTGTGTGTGTGTGTGTGTGTGTGTGTGTGTGTGTGTGTGTGTGTGTGTGTGTGTGTGTGTGTGTGTGTGTGTGTGTGAGAGAGTGTGTGTGTGTGCACGTGTATGTATTTGTGTGTTATGTGTAGAGTGTGTATGTGAGCATGAGAGCATGTGTGTTTTTATGTATACATGTGCATGTATCTGTATGATTGTGTGAGTGTGTGTGTGTGTGTGTGTGTGTGTATGCGTGTGTGCAATATTGATGTATTGTGTGTGCATTTGAGCATGAGTGGGTTTGTGTGAATGTGTGTGTGTGTGCGTGTGTGTTGTTATTGCTATATTATATTGATGTATTATTGTGTGTGTGTGTGTGTCTGTGTGTGTGTGTGTTGTTATATTATTCTTATGTATTGTATGTGTGTGTGTGTGTGTTCAGGGCTAATCGACGGCTACAGTGATGAGCGGCGTGCTCTGGAGCAGCAGGTGTGTGAGCGTGCGGAGCTGCAGCTGCATCTGGAGCAGGAGCTGCAGGTCACCAGCACACGGCTGCAGGAGCTGGAGCAGGAGAGATGCAGCCTGCTGGAGCACACTGAGCTGATGAGCCGACAGCGGGACGCCATGAGGGACAGCGCTGGAGGAGGACCAGAGCTGCGTATGTGCTATACACACACACACACACTCAAACACACACACACACATATGCAAGGGTGGAGAAGGAAGCTGAAGCTGTGGTCAGTGTAGTGTTGGCCAGCAGATCTGTTGGTCTGGAGCTCCGCAGGGTCAATATACATGACCCAAACCTCTGCCAAACGCCGGTTCAGTGGAGCAGCAGTGGAGATGTGGAGCTGTGGATGATGTGGAGCATGTGCTGTTCTCTGATGATCCAGCTTCACTGTCTTTCCCACATCCGGGACAGTTACGGTGTGGAGAAGCCCCAAAGAAGCGGCCCACCCAGACTGCTGATGCCCAGAGTCAAGCATGGGGGGGTCACTGATGGTTTAGACTCAATATCATGGCATTCCCTATGCCTAATACTGGTGCTAGATGGGCGCTGGGTCACTGCCAAGGACTACCCAACCATTCTGGAGGAGCAGGTGACCCAATGGCTCAAACACTGTCTCCTGAAGGTGCTGTTTGTTGTAATTAGGGCTGTGTTTGGTGTGTATCAGGATGATGATGCAGCAATACACACAGCAGGACTGGAGACGGTTTGATGAACATGTCTGCCATGGCCTGCACAGTACCCAGAGGCAAACATTATTGAGCACCTTGGGGTGTTTTGGAGGAGCGGGTCAGGAAAGGTTTTCCTCCAGCAGCATCAGTAGTGACCTGAACACTCTTCTGAAGAAGAACAGCTCCGAGTCCCCCTGGCTGCTGTGCAGGACTCCTGTCTGTCATTCCCATCAGCAGCTGATGCTGTTTTGGTGGCAAATTAAGGCCTGACGCCATACTAATCAATTATTGTGTCTTAAACCAGGCACTTCAGTTTCAGTGTCCAACTCCTGATATATACAACTGCACACACACACACACACACACACACACACACACACACACACACACATACATACACACACACACACACACACACACACAGACATATATATTTACACATGCACCACACACATACTCAAACGCACTAATCTATAGACACAGATACACAGAGTTTACTGCAGGGGAGCCCAAACTGGAGGGCCGCTGTCCTGCATAGTTTAGCTCCAGCTTGCTTCAACACACCTGCCTGGAAGGTTCTAGTATAGCTAGTGAGAGCTTGATTAGCTGCTTCAGGTGTGTTTAATTCAGAGATCGGAACTAAAATATGCTGGGCACCGATGCAGGACTGAGTTTGGGCACCCCTGGTTTACAGGTTGATAACTGTGATGAACTCATGATGTTTCTCTCCAGGTTTATCAGTATTTGTTTACACTAAACAGCTAATTCAGCTCAACAGCTGGTGGACACACTTTATTTATTTATTCATTCATCTATTTATTAATTAATAAATTTTTTTAATCTATTTATGTATCTATTTATCTATTAATTAATTAATTTATTTATCAATGTATCTATTTATTTATCAATTTATTTATGTATCTATTTATTTATTTATTTATATAATAATTTATTTATTTATTTATCTATTTTTCTATTTATTTATTTATCTATTAATTAATTAATTAATCTATTTATTTATCTATCTATTTATCTATTTATTTATTTATCTATTAATTAATTAACCTATTTATTAATTTATCTTTTAATTAATTTATTTATCTATTTATTAATTTATGTATTTATTTATTTATTTTTTATTAATTTATTTTTCTATTTATTAATTTATCTATTTATTTATTTATGTATTTATTTATTTATCTTTTAATTAATTAATTTTTTTTATTTATTTATGTATTTAATTTTTTTTTATATTTGTAATATTTTGCATACTGAATCTTGGTGTTGTTTTTAGTCTGGTCTAATATAATTGTAATAGTTTTATGACAATTAAACTGCCATTTTAGCAGTGGATTATTGGATTATCGTAGTAATTATTAACATTTATTAAGTTGATATCGAATGATTTATTATTTGTATTTCATTTTGAATTCAGTGTTTATTGTTCTAAACATGTATTAGTTTATTTATTATTTTTATTATTAGTAATATTGAATTAATATTTCATTTGTTTTGTATTTTTGACGTTTTCAACTGTATTTTTAGTTTTGTTTGATCTTTTTAAATTTGAATTTGAAATTTTGAATTTCTTTAGATTCAACTGTGCAAGCCCTGCAGTCCGGCTGATTACCCCTGAGAGTGTGTGTGTGTGTGTGTGTGTGTGTGTGTGTGTGTGTGTGTGTGTGTGTGTGTGTGTGTGTGTGTGTTGTGGTCTGTGCGCGTGTGTGCGTGTATTTATTCTTAGACGTGTGTTGTGGTCAGTGTGTGCGTGTGTGTGTATTCTCAGATGTGTGTGTGTGTGTGTGTGTGTGTGTGTGTGTGTGTGTGTTTTTTTTCAGACGTGTGTGTGTGTGTGTTGAGGTCTGTGTGTGCGTGTGTATTCTCAGAGCAGTGTTGTGCAGTTCGTGGATCAGTGTGTGTGTGTTCTTGCTCTGCATTTCTCTCCTGTATGCGCATGATGAACGTGTGTTTCACTCTGTCTTTCCTCAGGACTAGTAGAGGCTGCTCTTGATGCAGCTCCTGAAGCAGGTGTGTGTGTGTGCGTGTGTGCGCGCGTGTGCTCGCTTTGATTGACTGATCAATAACGCCGCTGTGCTTGCTTTTGGCTCCTGCTGATCGAATAACTGCTGCTTCACTCATTAACATCATTCACACACACTCACAAAAGCCTGAGTTACCTGAAGCTCACAGGTGTGATTGAACAGCCATCTCAACCTCAACACCTCACAGAAATCATGAAATAGTAATATAGATGAATAAATATTTACATAATTACACAGATAAATGATTAAAAAGTACATACATCAATAGTTAAATACATAAAAATACATATAAATGATTAAATAACTGCATAATTAAATATTTATTTACACATTTAATAATGCTTTTAATAGTTAATGCATATTTAATTATTTATTTATATATTTCAACATTTATTTATTTACCTTGGATTAAATTGGCCTTGCATAAAAATGAATGTAATATTTAATTTAATCTAATTAATAATACAAATCCTATTAGTTACATAAAAAACTTATAATAAACATATCCATATATATATATATATATATTTATTATTTATTATTATTATTATTATTATTATTATTATTATAAGTAATAGCATTGTTTCAAGGTTTATATGTACATTTTTTATTAATAACACTGAACATTTCCTCATTATTTTTGCTTTCCCCCGTGTGCTGTTTTCTTTAAGTGCATGCTGTTGGTGTCTCCTCTCGGATGGCTGTTCACTCCTTTATTTTCTCCTTATCTTCCGTTCTGCATCTGCACTTTAACCCCGTCCCGTCCTGCACTGTGGGCTCGTCTGGTGTTCGGGATCGATCATGTGATCATGGATATGGGAATCATGTGATCAGGAATGGAGGATTGTGGGAAATGGTGTCGTCTTTTGTGCCAAACACATTCGCATATCAGAGTGGAGACTGTGGAGAACATTTCCAGATCCCTGTCAGGAACATTATTACAGATAAATCTCAGCACTGAATCAGGAGAGCGTAGAAATGAGATGCTGCACGGCTTTATTGAATTATGTTTTAATCATAATTCAAACATAATCACGACTGTTTTAGCATCAGTATTTATTGCTTTGAAATATTTTGTTTTCATTTCCTTTCTCATTTTTTGACAACTGTTAAAAATGTTTTTTTTATAATTAATTATTTAATTTATTAATATTTAAGTACTTTTAGTATTTATTATTTTTGCTAAACATTTTTAAATTTTGCATTTTTCAGCTTTATTCTATGCTATTATGATATATTTATTGTATAAATATTTGTAGAAAGTATCTGATATTTTCAAATTTTTGTTTAAAAATAAATCTAATGTTTTTTTCAGCTTTATTATATATATATATATATATATATATATATATATATATATATATATATATATATATATATATATATATATATATATATACATACATACACAATCACATCAAAGTTTGTTTTGACCTAATATGTTTGTGTGTTATGCATATATAAATACACACATGCATGGATACATTTGAGAAAATGTTTATTAACATTTAAATATATATATATATATATGATACAAATTATATATATGATACAAATTATATATAAATTATAACTAAATATTGTTACTGTTCATTGCAACTAAACTTAGTAAACTCAGGAAAACTAATAAAAAATAATGATTATATGTGAAATATAAAGATTATGCCTGAAAATATAAACATATTTTCATTATAAATTGTTTTGTGCTTTTTGTCATGTTTGTTATTGCAGTTTTTATTTATTCATTTATTTTTAGTAATGTAAAATTGCATATACACGGACACTACTGGTCAAACATTTGGGGTCAGTTTTTTATTATTAATTTTATTTAATAATTTTAATAAAATTATTCTGTTCATTAGCAGCATTTTTAAAATGTAAAAAAAATTGTTGAATAATTATTTATTAAATATTTATTTATTACAGATTGTATGTAGTGTCATTATTGCTTTTATTACTATTACATTTATTATAATAATAACAACAATAATAATAAATAATAAATAATAATAATGATAATAATAAAAATAATTATAGTAATAAAAATAACAATAATAACAATAATAATAATAACAATAATAATAATAATAATAATAATAAAAATAATAACAGTAATAATAACATAACAATAACAATAATAATAATAACAATAATATTATTATTATTAATTATAATAACAATAATAATAAGAAGAAGAACAACAACAACAACATTTATAATAATAGCATATATGTAATATTAATAATTAATATTAGAGTGATTTCTGAAGGATTATGTGACTCTGAAGACTGGAGTAATGGAGCTGAAAATTCATCATTAAACTCATCAGAATAAATGATTAAATTAAATGATAATCTTCTGCTGAACAGTTATTTTATAGTGTAATAAAATGTCGCTATTTTACAATGTGTTCTGTATTTGTGATGAAATAAATGCAGCCCTGGTGAGCAGGAGAAGCTGATCTTAAAATCCTACTGACCCTAACCTGTTGACCGCTAGTGGACATTTTTGAACATAATATGTTTTTGTGTATTGTGTGTGTGTGCGTGCGTGCGTGTATACACACACACACACAAACACACACACACGCATGCATACATTTAAGACAAACTTACATTTAAATATTAAATATATATGTATATAATACAAAATATATATATAAATTTAAATATCTGTGTCGCAAACTGTATGCATGCATGTATGTATGTGTGTGTATCAAATATATAAAATACACACACATTTATTATGACAAAACAAACTTGTATCTTGGATGTGATTAATTGTGATTAATCTTTGCCCAGCACTAATTCATACATGCATTTATACAGTTTTATATTACAAAAAATTAATTAATAAATAAAAAACTACTATAGCAAAAATGACACCATGCAAAACAAAATATAGATAAATATATAATAAAAAATCATAAGTTTAGTTGTAGTGAACGGTAACAACATTGAACTTTAGCACATTGTGACTTAATAATTAATGTTCAGTTGAGATCAGACTTTAGTGAATCTGGTTGATCAGTGCATGCGAGCGAGCTGTAATAATGCCACTGACAGTGAGTTTCTGAGTGAGTGTTTCTCTGGATCTCCTCCGTCATCGTCATGTTGTGACTCTGCTGCTGTGCCGTTGTCAGACCTGCTGGAGGAGACGGAGAAGCTGCTGCAGGAGAAGGTGGAGGTGCAGCGTCAGGCGCAGAAGCAGAGCTCGGAGCTGCAGGCGCAGGTCAAGCAGCTGGAGGCGCAGCTGGAGGAGCAGCAGATGCGCTTGCAGGAGCAGCAGGAGCTCCAGCGCAGCCAGGAGGAGGACCTGCAGCAGCAGATACAGGCGCTGGAGAAGCAGACGGAGAACCACCGACGCTTCATTGACGTAAGGCGCTCACAATACAGAATGCTCTGTGAAAACACTTAACAGTTGCGAGACACTGACTTCACATCTTGCTATTCCTACAGTTTTTTGGAATTCTGAATTTGTGTCGCTATTCTGACTTTTTTGGGAAAGAAATTTCTAAATCTTTCTTGGATTTCTGAGTTTTTTCCGTTGGTATTCTGAGTTAGTCTTGCAATTTTGACAATTTTCTTGTAGTTTTGAGTTTACATTTTGTAATTCTGAGTTTTTTATTGAAATTCTGAATTTTGAGTTTTGCAATTCCAACTTTTCAGATTCCCAATTCTGAGATTTTGTTCCCTTGGATTTCTGAGTTTATGGCTTAAAAGTCTTACTTCATGGCTTGGAATTCCGAGATTTTTTTCTTGGAATTTTGAGTTTGTTTGTTTTTTCTCTTGGATTTCTCAGTTTTATGGGTCGGAATGCCGGAATGCTCTTGGAATTCTGCGTTTTTTTTCTTGGAATTCTGAGTGTGTGTCTCATAAATGCAACTTTTTTTCTTGGAATTCTAAGTTTGTCTCAAAATTCTGACTTTATTTCTTGGAATTCTGAATGTGTCTCATAATTGCAACCTTTTTCTTGGATTTCTGAATTCCGGGTTTGTTGTTCTATTCAAACTTTTTTTCTTGAAATTCTGAGTTAAGGCTTGAAATTTCTAGGTTTTTATTCCTTGCATTTTTGAGTTTACAGCTCAGAATTACAGAGTTTTTTTTCTTGGAATTTTGAGTTTACGGCATAAAATTTCAAGGTTTTTATTCCTTGGATTTTTGAGCCCAAGGCTCGGAATTCTGAGGTTTTGTCCCCTTGAAATTTAGAGTTTACAGCTTAGAATTTTAAGAAAAAAAAAACTCAGAATTTTGAGTTAATGGCTTGGAATTCTGAGTTTTTTTCTAGGAATTTAGAGTTTACGGCTTAAAATTCTGATTTTTTTTTCTCAGTTTTATGGCTTGAAATGCTGAGGTCTTTTTTCTTGAAATTCTGAGTGTGTCTCATAAATGCAACTTTTTTTCTTTGAATTCCAAGTTTGTCTCAAAATTCGGACTTTATTCGTTTTAATTCTGAGTGTGTGTGTCATAATTGCAACCTTTTTCTTGGAACTCTGAATTCCGAGTTTGTTGTTCTATTCAAAGTTTTTTCTTGAAATTCTAACTTTGACTTGGGATAACGAGTTTTTTTTTCTTGGAATTTTGAGTTTACGGCTTGAAATTCTGAACTTTTTTTCTTGGAATTCTGAGTTTCTCACAGTTTTGACTTTTTGCTTGAAATCTTAAGTTTACATCTCAAAATTCCAACTTTTTTTAATCTTGAGTTTTATCTTGAGATGAGTTTTCTTCTTAGGAATTCTGAGTTTGTTTCTCATAGTTGCAACTTTTTTTTTTTTTAATTTTGAGTTTCCATCTCGTAATTTTAAGTTGTTTATTGGAATTTTGATTTTGCGTCTTGTAATTCAGAGTTTTCTTGGAACTCGGAGTCTTCTAATCCTGACTATTTTTTTGACATTTTAAGTTTAAATCTCAAGCTTTTTTTCTGGTAAGTCTCAGTTTTCTAGGAATTCTGATTATAAGTGTTGCAGTAGTCTGACTTTACATCTTATAATTCAGAGTTTTTCCATGGAATTCTGAGTTAGTGACTCATAATTTCAACTTTTTCTTCTCGTAATTCTGAGTTGTTTGTTTCCTGCAATTCTGAATTCTGGGGTTGTTTTGCAATTCCAACTTTTTTCTTTGAATTCTGAATTTTTTCTTTAAATTCTGAGTTTTCCTGAATATTTTCTTTACAGTTTTGAGTTTAAATCTTGGTAATTCTGAGTTTTCCTGAGTTTATTCTGAGATTATTTTTGCAATTATTTTGCAGTTACAAGGAATTTTGAGTTTCCGTCTTGCCATTCCGGCTGTTTACTTGTAATTCTGAGTTTATGTCAGAATATAGTTTGTTATGCTGTTCCAACTCTTTTTTTTTTTTTTTTTTTTTTTTAGCGGCGCTTTTGAATTTACACCTCACAGTTCAGATTGTTCACAGTTTGTGTGTGTGTTTGTGTTATTCAGGAGCAGGCCGCAGACAGAGAACACGAGAGAGACGTTTTCCAGCAGGAGATCTTCAACCTGGAGCAGCAGCTGAAGAATCCCACCAAAACACAGACAGGAAGTGAGCGGCGGGACAGAGAGGTAAACACACTTCACTGAACATCCGACATCACCTCTATACTATATAACTGCAGGCGGACTGTGTTTATATATAATTACTGGTAAAGCTTTTAGTAATTAGATTTCTGCAGATTTTTAGCCAATCATTGTTTATTTATTGAAAATGTTTATAAATGTGTAGATTTATTCAGCTTTTAAATTAATCTCAGCAATATTATTGGCTAATATGAAAATGTTGACATGATTTATTTACAGTACAGTGTGTAAAGTCACGTGTTCTGTCTTTCAGTAGAGATATTATATGAGAGATTTGCTTTGTTCACCATTTAAATGAATCTGATTTAATTAGCGTTGTAAACATCAAATACAAATTTAAAAAGTGTTATTTTTTATTTCACATATTAAGTTTTTAGTTTGGATACTCCCAAAATCATTCTGCGTATAAATTGCACAGAAATAGCAAAAAATGTCTGCAGATTCTCTCTCTGGCCTGAGTATATTAGTTGCTGGATAATTAAAGCAACTAATAAGTAATATTAAGTAACTTAGTTACTAATAACCTTTGCTTAAAGCTGCTTTCAATTAATAAATAATGTTAAAAAAACCTGAATTGAACTGAAGTGAATTGAGGAGGAGCGTCAGATGATGATCAGAGTCCAGCTCGGACAGTAACTCACAGTATTGATTCTGCTTCTACACAGCAGCAGTGATTGAGCCGTTTGCTGGCATTAAATGATGATTGTGAACTCATTATATTTACACAGTGTGAGTTCAGAAACACTTTCTGCTTCCTCTGCCCTGAAGTTAATGAGTATTGGGTTTAAATCTGCAATAGAGTGCTGCATCTTATTATGAGGATCACATATGTCATTGATCAGCAGTGCTTTATTCTGAAGACAGTCAGGACGGTTATTTCTTAAGGGGGCTAATAATATTGACCACAGCACTTGTTGTATAAGCCAAGCTAAAATATAATAGGAAATACTGTGACAGATTTCCCTGCTCTGTTGGACAGCCCTTGGGAAATATTTGAAGACATAATTAAATAATATTTGTTCTTCTGCAGGAAGTCTTATTTGTTTTATTTTGGCTACAATAAAAGCAGTTTTTAATAGTTTTAAAGCCATTTTAATAATAATTCTGACTTCAACTGTGTGTGTGTATAGTAATAAGTATATATATATATATATATATATATATATATATATATATATATATATATATATATATATATATATATATATATATATATATATACACTGTTTGAATATTCACAATTTTCACAGTATGTCTGATAATAACCATTTTAAGGTCAAAATTATTAGCCCCTTTAAGCTATATTTTAGTTTATTCTATATTACACACTGCCTGACAGAAGTCTTGTGGTGGATCGTAGTTGTAGGAGCAGCAGATAATATCTGCTCTTCTAGTTGATGATGTGTAAAAGTGTCAGAGGTGGATTTCTCTGCTGGATCATCTGCTGATCTGCATCCCGATCATCACCAATACTGCAGAAGACCTACTGGAACCAGCATGGAGCAAGATTCTCAGAGAAATCAGTCAAGTTTGGTGAAGGAGACATCATGGTTTGGGGTCATTCAGTATGGAGAGATCTGCAACATCAACAGCCTGAGGTATCAAGACATCTGTGCTGCCCATTACATTACAAACCACAGGAGAGGACAATTCTCCAGCAGGATAGCGCTCCTGCTCATACTCCAGCCTCCACATCAAAGCTCCTGAAAGCAGAGAGTGCTCTAGGATTGGCCAGCCCAGTCACCAGACATCAACATTATTAAGCTGATGAAGGAGGAGGTGTTGAAGATGAACACAAAGACTCTTGATGAGCTCTGCTGAAGGCTTTCTTCTTCATTCCAGATGACTTTATGAATCAGTGATGTGAGTCATGTCAGAGATGTATGGATGCAGTCCTCCAAGCTCATGATGGAGTCAGACACAATCTTCATTCTGTCTCCACTGCAGCAGGACTTTATATTCTATACTGGACATTATTTCTGTTCAGTGATGAGACTTTAGTCTGAGCAGAGTCAGAGCGCACTGTCCTCATCACATCAGTCAACATCAAGACATGATCAGATTTATTGAGCTCAAATCAGCAAAATCTAGAGGCCTTCACCTTTCATAGACACACTTCAGACACCCAATCAACAACTAGAAGAGCAGATATTATCTGTGTTCCTAAAACTGGGATTTGTTTGTCAGGTAGTGTGTGTGTGTGTGTGTATATATAGTAGTTGTGTGTCGTCATCGTGAGCTTAATAAAGATGTTTCTCAGCTTCTGCATGTGCGCTAATAAAGACAAACGATCAGAGTCACAGTCAGTTGCCAGGCAGCGGCGCTCACACACACACACACACATGGAGACAGAGAGTCACGTGCTGCTGGTGTGTGTGTGTGTCAGGTGCAGGAGTTGAGCGCGGCGCTGCAGGAGAAGTCGGACCGCTGCAGTGAGCTGCTGCTGAGCTCTGAGCAGCTGCAGAGAGATGTGAAGGACAGAGAAGAGGAGATCCAGACGCTCGCCGCGCGCGTACACCAGCTGGAACACACACTCATGCATGAGGTCAGTCTGTGTGACGCTGTGTGTGTGTGACGCACTTGGAATGATGATATGACTCCTTTGGGACGCTCTGTGTGTGTTTGAGAGCGAGGAGAGCGTGACGAATGGGAGTGTCTGAATGCAGTGTACATAGTGTGTGTGTGTGTGTGTGTGTGTGTGTGTGTGTGTGTGTGTGTGTGTGTGTGGATGCAGTGGTTTAGCATCACATCTCTGTTCAATGATCAGATTCGGTTTCTGTGTGTGTGTTGTTTGGTTTCTGTGTCATTGAGATTATGCTTTGGTGTGTGTGTGTGTGTGTGTGTGTGTGTGTGTTTGTGTTTGTGTATTATGATATGTATATGTGAGAGTGTGCCTAAATATGTGTGTTATGATGTTTGTATGCAAATCTCAGTGTCATTGTGTGTGTGTGTGTGTGTGTGTGTGTCAAGGTGTTTGCATGTAAATACTGTGTGTGTGTGTTTGTGCGTATCATGATGTGTGTTTGTAAGTGTGTGTGTGTGTGTTTGTGCATATCATAGTGTCTGTGTGTGCACGTATTATGTTGTGTGTGTTTGTAAATATGTGTGTGTGTGTTTGTGCATATCATAACGTGTGTTGGTGTGTGTGCGTAACATGATGTATGTTTGTAAATATATATATATGTGTGTGTGTGTTTGTGCATATCATAACGTGTGTTGGTGTGTGTGCGTAACATGATGTATGTTTGTAAATATATATATATGTGTGTGTGTGTGTGTGTGTGTGTGTATCATGATTTGTGTGTGTGTGTTGCAGGTTCAGGAGGTCCAGCATGTGTCTATGGCGGGTCGAGTTGACGTCACACTGGAAGCGCAGCTGCAGACTGAGAGAGAGGCGCTCGACAGGAAGGAGAAAGAAGTACTTCCTCTTTTATTCTCTATTTATTATATATTCATTTAATTCTGAAAATTCCAAGCAAACGTTGAGCAGTTGCTAAATGAGCAAAAACAATTGAAAAGAAAAATGGGAACCATTGACTTTTACAGTATTTGCTTTTCCTGCTGTGTGAGTCAATGGTTACAGGTGTCCAGCATTCTTCTAAAGTGTTTATCAGGAGAAAGTCAAACAGGTTTATAATCAATCAAGCCAGAATTAATGATGAGCAGATTGGTGTTTTTGGGTGAACTGACCCTTTAAGTGTATCTCCACTGCAGAATGTCTTGTAATAGTGCACGAGTGTGCATGTGGTGACGCCGCTGTTGTGTGATGTGTGTGTGTGTGTGTGTGTGTGTGTGTGTGTGTAGATCGTGAACCTGGAGGAGCAGCTGGAGCAGTTTCGAGAGGAGCTGGAGAACAAGAGCGAGGAGGTGAACCAGCTCAACATGCAGCTGCAGATCCAGAGCAAGGAGATCAGCAGATACCAGCAGGAGCTGCAGACGCACAACACGCTAACACAGGTCTCACACACACACACACATAAATGCACACACAAACACACAGATGACAACACAGATGCACGCACACTCACAGATGCATGTACACACACAAGCACATGCATACATGCACACGCAAGCACACACACACACAAACAAACCAGACACTGACACATACATACAGGCACACAGCCACACACTCTGACACACACACACACACACATACATACAAACAAACCAGACACTGACACATACATACAGGCACACAGCCACACACTCTGACACACACACACACACACACACACACTTTTCTATTGTTATATAAGTTGACGGCTGTTTCACACACAGATCTTCTTCACACTTCAGGTTGTTGGTTTGTTTCTGAAGCAGAGTTTGATTCTGCCCACGCCAGTGTCCTTTCACATTGTATTCCGTGTGTGTGTGTGTACATGTGTGTGCGTATATTATGGCTAAAGTGATCATCATCAGCAGTGTTTTACTTCAGAACTGAAAACACACACACACGGAACCAGAGGTGATCCTCAACCCTGCTGAATAGCAGCCAATACTCAGCCATGAGCTCTGTTTATAATATAGAGTTATAAGAGCCATAAAAATATGTGATGACAGATATGAAAATCAGAAAAAGACATATGCAAACCTTTTAAATCCTCACAAAAGTTACAGAAAACTTAGCTATTTATTTATTTATTTATTTATTTATTTACTTATTTATTTATTTATTTACTATTATTTAATTATTTATTTATTTATTCTTTCTTTCTTTATTTGTTTATTATTTATTTATTTATTTATTTGTTTTATTTATTTATTTATTTAATATTTAATATTTATTTATTATTATTTAATATTTATTTATTATTTATTTTATGTAATTATTTATTTATTCATTTATTTATTTATTTATCTGTCTCTTTATTTCTTTCTTTAATTAAAAAATATTATAATACATTTTTTAATAATTAACTATTTTATTTTTTTCTTTGTATTTTATTATTAATGCTATTATTATTGCTATTATTAGTATTATAATTATTATTAATAATATTTATTATTAATTAATATTTATAATAAATAATGTTTATTATTATATTATATTTATTTTCTTTTTAATTTTTAATTTATTAATTATATGTTTACTTTTTATTATTTACTTATTTTACTTATCTATCTTTCTTTTTTATTACAATTAATTTTTTAATCAATAGTTATTAGATTAGTTAATTTTTTTATTGTTTTTATCATTATTATTAGTATTATTTATTTATTAGTTTTTGTCTTTTATTCTTTATTTATTTAATACGTTTTTTGTTTATTCATTCATTCATTTAGCTATTTAATATACTCACATATTTGCTATAATTCTCTAATTCAGGCTGTTTTCAGCAGGGATGTGACAGAAGTTAATTGTGTGACATTCAGTTTCACATGCTTCAGCTGTGTTTTAATAATAATAGCAGCAGCATGGATAACTTTATGGAGCAGTTTATTTAATTATTTTTACTATCCGACACATTTCAGGATAAATAATTCATGCATGAATGACTCAGCGATGATTTGCAGCGAGTTCCAGAATGAAATGCATGAATTAAATCCACATCCAGAGTCAGTTTTGATGTCACGTTTACTACAGCACCAGTGCATGAGTGTGAATGTGTGCCGTGAACAGAAATGATGCTAATATTAGCGCCGTCCACGTTGTCCTCCAGTCCTGGATTCTGAGTCATGTGATGATGTTTAACTCTTGAAGGTTTTGGAGGAGAAGGAAAGGCAGATATCTGTCCTAAATCAGCAGATCAGTAAACGCCAGCACGCGGGAACACACCCTGAGGAAGAGGTAAACACGTATACATGTGTGTGTGGACCATGTCTGTGTCCTGCACATATGCATACATGAGCATCCGTCAACCCCCTGCTGGAAAAATCATTTACTTACCTAGAGTTTCTGCCTGATTTCTAGTCCAAATATCTACCAATTCTGAAATCAAGAAGCATTTTTAGCCAAAAAGCTGGATAATAGTTGAGCAATAATATTATTATTAAATGTATTAAATATTATTATTATATTATATCATGGTACTAACTGTTGAGAGAGACGTCTGAGCTGTGCTTCTGCAGATTTCCCATATAGAAAAACAACCTGAAAGCAGAAATGTGTGTGTTTGTGCTGAATGTTGACCCATAACCGTCTATGCTACCTGTATCTGTCAGTGCGTTTGTGCACTTTTATTATAGTTCTAATTTGCAGGTTAATTACAGTGAAAGTATAAACTGAAATGCAAAGTCAAAGTGTTGAGCAGCAGAAGTGAACGAATAGATGTTCACTTCCAGCTAATGGAAACAAAAGGAAATGACAGCAAATATAAGACACTTGTGCGCTATAATGCTGACACTAATTTAAGAAATATCCACAAGACAAATGTAAATATCGCTGAATTATAGCTCTGACAGAGTCATGAGGGTTTTAACTTTTGCCCAGCAGGTCTCCACACAGGTCATGTGACTAAAAACAAGCAATTGGCAGATTATTTTGCCTGTTTTAAGAAAAAAAAACTCACTTAATTTTGACTTGCATCTGAAAACATGACAATATTTTTGTTAAATATTGTTAGAAAAGGCTTCTTGATTTCAGAATATTTGGTCTAGAAACAAGACTGAACCTCCAAGTAAGAAAAGCATTATTTATAGTGTGTGAGTGTGTGTGTGTGTGTGTGTGTGTGTGTGTTGTGTGTGGTTTGGTGCCACCCGTCTTTCCCATGATGTTTTTTTGTGTTGCATCATCTTGTTTTGCATTTAAATGCCTCTTTTATTTATAGTTTTATTATTTTAGCCACAATAATGTGATGCGACACAAATGACAAAACTCACCAGCTTGAGTTTAAAGAGCAGCTCATGTGGGCTTACCACAAACATCCTGTGAGCAGTTTGTAACCTAGCTGTTGTTCAGTGTAGCTGTGAGGGACGTTTAACCAGTAAAGAAAGATAATGTCTTTCAAAATGAAGAGTCAGCTCTGAATTGCCTTAATGAGTCATTATTTTAAATCTTTTGCCTGCTACTGAGTTACATTAACTCGATCAAATGAACTAATTTGCATAATCTCCTCCCCTTATGACATACAGACACTCTAAAATGGGCGTTTCATTTCAGACACACAAAGACCAATTAAAACAGACTTGACCAGCTGACCAATCAGAGCAGAGTTAGCCTATGGAAAAGGGGCGGGGCTTAAAGATCTGAATTTATTCAAATTGATTCAAGCGAATCATATCTTTGAATATTTTGCCTGCTATTAATTTATATCAACACAATCAAAGTAACTCATTTGCATAGTTCACATCCCTGTCACATACAAGCACTCTACAATTGGCGTTTAATTTTAGATATAGACCAATCAAAACAGACTTGGCCAGCTGACCAATCAGAATAGAGTTGGCCTATAGAAAAGAGGAGGGCCTTACAGATCTAAATTGATTCAAACGAATCATATGTTTAAATATTTTGCCTGCTATCAATCTATATCAACACAATCAAAGTAACTCATTTGCATAGTTCCCGCCCCTGTCACATACATACACTCAAAAATGGGTGTTTCATTTCAGACATAGAAAGACCAATCAAAACAGACTTGACCAGCTGACCAATAAGATCAGAGTTGGCTGTTAGTATAGAGGGAGGAATGAATCATATCTCTGAATCTTTTGCCTTCTACCGATTTACATCAACTCAAAGTTACTCATTTGCATAATCTCCACCCTCTGTGACATATAGATACATTAAAAGGGGCGTTTCATTTCAGACTAATCAAAACAGACTTGGTCAACTGACCAATCAGAGCAGAGTTGGCCTATGGAAACAGGGAGGGGCTTACACATCTGAATTGATTCAAACGAATCATATCTTTGAATCTTTTGCCTTCTACAGAGTTACATCAGCTCAATCAAAGTAAATAATTTGCATATTCCCTGCCCCGTCACATGCAAACACTATAAAATGGGCAGTTCATTTCAGACACAGAAAGACCAATCAAAACAGACTTGACCAGCAGACCGGCTATGGAAAAAAGGAGGGGCTTACAGAATTAATTTTATCAAATTGATTCAAATGAATCAGATTAAAGTGATTACAAAATGAGTCTAATATCAAAGGAATATTCTAAGATAATTATGCTTTCTGAATTCATATGTACTGTTGTAGGAGTTTGAACAATATTAGGACACTTTTAAACACCATATGAGCTGCTCTTTATAGCGTGCATCATGATGTGGAGTTGAACTGATTGCATTGGTTAAACTGGATGTCGTTGATTGTGATTCAGAGTAACTAAGCGAATGGAAACGCCTGCTTCAGATCTGGTGGATTCATGCGTTTGTGCATTAACTCCTCTGTGTTGATGTGTTTGTGCTGTTTTGTTCTGCTGTGTTTTGGTTTTTCATCTCACACCTACCTGGTAAAAGGGATAGCTCACCCAGAAAGAACATTACTCACCCAAAACCTGTGTGTTTATATGTGTGGATCATAAAATGAGATATTCAGCAGAATGTTCACGCTGCTCTTTTCTGTACAGTGGAAGTGAGTCTGCTTTTTCAGTCACTAAAATGATGATTATTTTTACCCTGAATTAGGATAAATCATGTATAAAACTAATTAAATTTAGTAAAATATAATAATAAGCATAATATAATATAATAATAAGTGTATAATAAACACCTAAGCGTCATGCTTTTGCAGTATGACAGCTCTGAGTCATGATTTAATTCCACTGTATGGAAGAAATCAGTCATTTTATTGTCTAATATCTTGATTTTTGTCCGTCGATGATGACAGAATTTTCATGTTTGTATGAAATACTCAAGCACTGATGTAAATGAGTCAAAGGGTGTTTCACAACTTAATTAAAGTGCTTAATTAAAATAATAATCACTGCACAACCCTTCAGACTGGTCAGATTAGCTGTGATTTACCCAATCGTTTTAATTATGTTGTAAAACGGTGATGATCAAATATCATTTTAATATTTTAAAGGAATAATTTTATCCAAAAATTCCACATTTTGTCATCATCTGCTCACCTAATGTTATTCCAGCCTGGAATTATTTGCTTTCCACCATTAAAATACAAAGTGAGGAGTTTCTGTTCTGCATGCGTTAAAGTGGGGTGTGTTTTATACCATTATGATATTTAATTATCATAGTTAATTATCATTAATTGACTCGTATTCCTCCCAAAGTCGTGTGATTAACCAGCAGTCTTTGATCTTCACAGATATTTTGAAGAATTGAATATGAATCATATGAGCTTTAGTGATGCACCAATTTTTTTTCCATCTGATAAGTATTGTTATATAACAGCACAGTCATACACTGTACAATATGCAGTGAAATGCTTATACAACCATCAAAATAATATCAATAAGAATCTACATTTTGGAATTTAATAAGAAGTAAAAACACTGAAAATTTTAGGTATAGAATTAGAAGTTGTAGCTTTAGATTATAATTTATTGTTATGCATAATATATTAATATGTAATATAGTATAATAATAATAATTTAAGATCTAATTATATATTTTTCTTCCATTGGGGAAAAAATAAAAATAAAATTGATGCTAATTAATTGTTTTTAAAAAGGAAATAATTTAAATATAATGAATTTTAGGGGCGAGGCAGTGGCGCAGTAGGTAGTGCTGTCGCCTCACAGCAAGAAGGTCGCTGGTTCGAGCCTCGGCTCAGTTAGTGTTTCTGTGTGGAGTTTGCATGTTCTCCCTGCCTTCGCGTGGGTTTCCTCCGGGTGCTCCGGTTTCCCCCACAGTCCAAACACATGCGGTACAGGTGAATTGGGTAGGCTAAATTGTGCGTAGTGTATGAGTGTGTGTGTGAATGTGTGTGTGGATGTTTCCTAGAGATGGGTTGCGGCTGGAAGGGCATCCGCTGCGTAAAAACTTGCTGGATAAGTTGGCGGTTCATTCCGCTGTGGCGATCCCGGATTAATAAAGGGACTAAGCCGACAAGAAAATGAATGAATGAATGAATTTTAATAATTTAATCATTAATTGTTGAAAAAGTTGCGTCTTGGGAGTAAAACGTGCCACCAACTTTAATAGTATGGAGAACAGAAGCTCGGAAATTAGACAACATTACAATCTTATAAACAATTCTGGGTTGGAATCACATGGTAATTTATCGTCACTGTTGGGTGAATGATTTATTTAAAGAGTTAGTTCCCTGAATATATCTTGGGAGCGTTGCTGTCTCTGATGAGAAAACTCTCAGATTTCATCTAAAATATCTTAATTTGTGTTCTAAAGCTGAACGAAGCTATTAAGGGTTTGAATTGACTTGATATTTGGGTGAACTGACCCTTTAAGAAGTAAACCCTGTAGTGATTCAGTAGTGTGTGATTCTGCAGGCGGTAGAGCAGAAGGACGAGGCTCTGGGCGAGATGGAGGCGCTGGTAGAGTGTCTGAAGAGCGAACAGCAGCGTCTGAAGAAGGACAACGAGGACGAGGTGGAGCAGCTGAACGCCGTCATCGAGAAACTCCAGCAGGAGCTGTCGCACATCGAGGCTCGAGACGACCACGAGGAGATGAAGCAGAGGGTGGATGAGCTGACCAGCGAATGCAATACATTACGCCTTCAATATGAACAACTGCAGGAGGAGACCAGAGATCATGAGGAGATGAGGAAGAAGGTGGAGGAGCTGATGAGTGAATGCAGTTCTCTAAACCTCCAATATAATCAACTTCAGGAGGAGACGAGAGATCATGAGGAGATGAGGAAGAAGATTGAGGAGCTGACAATTGAATGCAACTCTTTACAACTCCAATATAAACAACTTCAGGAGGAGACGAAAGATCATGAGGAGATGAAGCAGAGGATGGAGGAACTGACAGCTGAATCAAACGCACTACGCCTGCAATGTGAACAAGTGCAGGTGGAGACGAGAGATCCAGAGGAGATGAAGCTGAAGATGGAGGAACTGACCAATGAATCCAATACACTACAACTTCAAGATGAACAACTGCAGGGAGGGACGAGAGATCATGAGGAGGTGAAGAACATGGAGGAACTGACAACTGAATGCAATTCTCTGCGCCTTCAATGTGAACAACTGCAGGAAGAGACGAGAGATTATAAGGAGATGAAGCAGAGGGTGGAGGAACTGACCAAAGAATCCAATGCACTACGCCTTCAATATGAACAACTGCAGGAGGAGACGAGAAATCATGAGGAGATGAAGAAGAAGATGGAGGAACTGACCAATGATTCCAATGCACTACGCCTTCAATATGAACAACTGCAGGCGGAGACGAGAGATCATGAGGAGATGAAGCAGAAGGTGGAGGAGCTGACGACTGAATGCAATTCTCTGCACCTTCAATATGAACAACTTCAGGAGGAGACGAGGGATCACGAGGACATGAAGAAGAAGATAGAGGAGCTGACCAATGAATTCAATACTCTACGCCTGCAATATGACCAACTGCAGGAGGAGACCAGAGATCACGAGAAAATGAAGTTGAAGATGGAGGCGGTGACGACTGAATGCAATACGCTACGCTTACGATACGAGCAGTTGCAAGAGGAGACAAGGGATCATGAGGAGATGGGTAAGAAGATGCAGGAGGTGTCCAATGAATCCAATACACTACGCCTTCAATATGAACAACTGCAGGCAGAGATGAAAGATCACGAGGAGATGAAGCAGAAGATGGAAGGCATGACGACAGAGAGAGACTCTCTGCATCTCCAATATGAACGCCTCCATCAGGAGACTCTTCTGGAGCTGCAGGAGGCGCTGCGGGAGAAAACCGCAGCGTCTGTGGTGATGCAGGCTCAGGTGCAGGCGCTGGAGGAGAGCGCAGCCGCCAGGGTCGACAGTCTGAGCCGGCGGGTAGAGGAGCTGCAGGAGTGTGTGGAGGAGAAGGACCGGGAGCTCCGAGCCTGCAGGATGAGGGTGGAACAAGCTCAAACTGATGCCCACGGACTGTACGATAAAGTGGCTCAGCTTGAGGACAATCTCAGGGAGAAAGTGGCTGCCGTTTTGGTCAGTCAAGCACAACTGGAAGCCGTTCAGACGCAAACCAAAGAGCTCCACGCTGAGGCTATAGTAGGCTCCGGAACACAGCTGCAAGAGGGCATCTGGATGCAGGATGATCTAATGGCACAGGTGGGCCTCAGGGTGCAGAAGAGCCTCAGGATGCAGGAGGATTTCACTGTGCAGGAGGGCCTTGAGGTGCAGGAGGGTCGAACGACGCTGGAGGGCCTCACAGTACAGGAGGGTCTCACAATGCTGCCGGGCCTCACAATGCAGGAGGGCTTCAGGGCGCAGGCTAAAGCCTCTGGAGGGAAGGTGAACTTGCTGACGGAGAAGCTGAAGGAGCTGGAGGAGGGCTTGATTGTCATGCAGAAGGACCAGGAGTTGCAGAAGGAGCTGTTGTGTAGCTCTGAGGAGGAGGTGATGGAGTATGAGAGCAGGTTATCCGTCATGATGGACCTGCTCAGCCAGATGAAAACCAAACCCAGCGCTCTCAGACCACTGCCGTCGTCTCAGGTGAGTCTTTGCTGCCTGGTCGCCATGCACGACTAGTGTGAATGATGTTTAGAGGAGTCTCTGGTGTTAGTGTGAGTCCCTGTGGTGTTTGCATGAGTCTCTGTGGTGTTTGCATGAGTCTCTGTGGTGTTTGCATGAATCTCTGTGGTGTTTGCATGAGTCTCTGTGGTGTTTGCATGAATCTCTGGGGTGTTTGCATGAGTCTCTGTGGTGTTTGCATGAATCTCTGGGGTGTTTGCATGAGTCTCTGGGGTGTTTGCATGAGTCTCTGTGGTGTTTGCATGAATCTCTGTGGTGTTTGCATGAATCTCTGGGGTGTTTGCATGAGTCTCTGTGGTGTTTGCATGAATCTCTGGGGTGTTTGCATGAATCTCTGGGGTGTTTGCATGAGTCTCTGTGGTGTTTGCATGAATCTCTGTGGTGTTTGCATGAATCTCTGGGGTGTTTGCATGAGTCTCTGGGGTGTTTGCATGAGTCTCTGTGGTGTTTGCATGAATCTTTGGGGTGTTTGCATGAATCTCTGTGGTGTTCATGTGAGTCTCTATGGTGTTTGCATGAATCTCTGGGGTGTTTGCATATGTCTCAGTGGTGTTTGCATGAGTCTCTGTGGTGTTTGCATGAATCTCTGGGGTGTTTGCATGAATCTCTGGGGTGTTTGCATGAGTCTCTGGGGTGTTTGCATGAGTCCCTGTGGTGTTTGCATGAGTCCCTGTGGTGTTTGCATGAGTATCTGTGGTGTTTATGTGAGTCTCTGTGGTGTTTGTGTGAGTCTCTGTGGTGTTTGTATGAGTCCCTGTGGTGTTTGAATGGTTGTCATTTGTGTTTGTATGAGTGTTTATAAGAGTTCTATCTGTGTGCTGCAGGGGTCAGCTGAGGTCAGGCTGGAGCTGCAGGAGGTTAAAGATAAATCTGCACTCATTGAAGTGGATCTCGGCATCTCCAGACTCCAGGAGGAGATACAGGTACACACACCACAGCTGCTGCTCATTACAGGCCACTTCATTATTATATTCACCATTCTCTATTCATTACGTCACTCCCATTTATTAGAAGCTTGGATTATTATTATTATTATTATTATTATTATTGTTATTATTATTTTGCTCTATTAGGTTCATACATAAAATAATAAATTTAAATACAATATAAAAGTGATTATAATAGGTTTTTATAGACTTTTTATAGACTTCAAATGTAATTTTTAATATGTTTTTATTAGTTTAATGATTTATTAAACTATAAATTATAAATTATATATAAATTAATTATTTATTATTTTAATTATTTTATTAGTTTAAAATTTTATTTTAATCTATTTTTTTTCATTTGTCATCGCTATTTTTTGTTATTTTTTAATAATGAAAATATTATTTATAATTATTTAATATTAATTTAATTTATTTGTGCATTTTTTTAATTTATTCTTCATTAATGAATTATTTACCTTTAATTTAAATCTGCTAAATTATTTATTTTTTCATTTGTGTATCTGTTCTTGTTTATTTGTTGTTTGTTCTTCAGATGAAGGAGAGCATGATCGCTCAGCTCCAGACTGCTCTCAGAGAGGTAAACCCTTAAACTTCATTCTCAACTGAAGTCAATGGAGATGATATTCTTTAGATCTTAATCTCAATTGTAACTGTGAATCTGCAGGCCTCATCGGGCCCCAGTGGAGCCGCCGAGACCCCTGAACTGATCCAGGAGCTGCAGGAGGTCAAAGGTCGCGCAGCCTCCACACATCAGGAACTGCAGGAGGTCAAAGGTCAGCTGGAGGAGGTCAAAGGTCAAAGCGCTCATCTGGAGGAGCTGCTGCAGGTACGCTGCTTGTCTGCTCGTTTCAGTGTGTGTTTGTGTGTGTTTCTGTATTGTGTGTATGTGGGTGTGAATTCATTTAAATGCACAAAAATGAAGGGTAGGAGGCGTGGCTTAATTGCTGTATGTTGATGTACTTCCAACTAAAATGGAATATTAAGTAGGCGGGGCTTAATTTCAGTGTGTCCGTGTACTTCCAACTGAAAAAGAATATTGAGTGGGGGGGGGCTTAATTTCAGTTTGTTAATGTACTTCCAACTGAAACTGAATATTGAGTAGGGGCGGGGCTTAATTTCAGTGTGTTAATGTACTTCCAACTGAAACTGAATATTGAGTAGGGGCGGGGCTTAATTTCAGTGTGTTAATGTACTTCCAACTGAAACTGAATATTGAGTAGGGGCGGGGCTTAATTTCAGTAGGTTAATGTACTTCCAACTGAAACTGAATATTGAGTAGGTGCGGGGCTTAATTTCAGTTGGTTAGTGTACTTACAACTGGAACAGAAAAATTGTGTAGAGGCGGGGCTTTCTCTAGCACATCATTCCCTTATAGCAAACTAAAGGTAAGAGAGGGTATTGATATGCAGTTGCTATGGAAACCCTCAGGGTGACATCAGCAGAAGGAGCAAATACAAACGCAGAAGCAAATGCTCAGACTTTCATTGAAGATTACCAAAATAAATACATTCCTTCAGTAAATTAACTTGCGCTGATTAATTATTCAGCTTTTGAATAACAACGTGAGCTAGCAGAATAAACAGTGTAGATTTAGATTTCAGACGGACTTTAAAACTGTGTGTGTGTGTGTGTGTGTGCGCAGGACAGAGAGATGAGTCTGGCTCTGCTGAAGGATCAGCTAAACCGGGTGAGTGGATATACACCTATAATCATTATAAAGTACATGCAGATACTCATATTGTGGACACTTACAGTAAATAATCATCAGTGTTTAGACTTGTTTTTAAGAGTGTTCAGAGTGTATTTGCAGTGGTGTTCATAACAGACCAGTTCTAGGAGATTTCATTGGTTAATTAGCTTAACAATTCAAACATCATGATGTTAATCTGAACAAATATTGACTATTGTGTGACTGTTTATAGAGCTGTTGTACATCAACACTGTGCAGTAAAGCTCCACTAGTTGACATTAAGCTGAACTAAACTCACTTTTATTCATCTTTACTGATGTGAATTTTTATTTAAAGTCTAATCATGCATTCAAGTCATAATCATAATCTGATTACCAGAGTCAGAATTGTTTTATTAAATGCATTTAATAATTAATAACATTTTTAAGTAATAAAATGAACTCATATTAAAGCAGTATATCTATTAAATCAGCTTTTCTCACTGATTTTAATGCATGAAGGAACATTTGCTGATGAGGCTTTATTGTAAAGTGTTTCCTATTTATCATCCTTATCAAAAAATCATGATAATACCGTATACTTAAATCTTCAGCAGTTAATCGCAGCAAGATAATTTAATAGCATGACCTTTGACCTTTGGTGGTTTCTCCACAGGTCTCTCAGGATGCAGATCAGCCGATGGCGGAGCTGCTGCAGGAGCTGCTGGAAGTCAGAGGTCAAGCCGCATCGGCCAACGAGGATCTGATCTGCTGCAGGGAGAAGATCAGTCAGCTGCAGGAGGAGATTCAGGTACTGCTGCGCCCCCTGCTGGAGGACAGAGGAAACACTGCATATAAATATACAGTCAAGCCGGAAACTGTTCATGTTCAACCAGCAAGTGTGTTATTGACTGGAAATGACACTCAGGCTTCTCCCAAAAGAGAATAGGACGATACAAACAACATTTCTCAGCTTTTATATATTTTAAGTCAGAGGGTGTGAATAATTTCAGCCTTGACTATATATAACAGAACTACTCAACTTAAAAATACTTAATTTGACTAATTTATTAATTAATCAATTTGCAATTCAATAAAATTAATTAGATTTTTGTATTTTATTTCAATAAAAAATACACTTTTTGTACATTTTGCATGTTTGTAATCATAAGTAGAATTTACCATTTATATTAAAATTGTTTTATATATTAATTTTATGTTATATATTAATGTTAAAATTAATTTAATTATATATTTTTTGCATTTTTGCATACATTATTAGGATGTGCCTTTAAAAAAAATTACTATCAATATTATTTTTATTTGAATATTATACTATTTTTAATATTATACTATTTATTATTATTATTATTATTATTATTATTATATTTTTAATATACTATTTTCAATATTATACAATTTTTATTATTATAATATTTTTAATATTATAATATATATTATAAATAATTAATATTATTTTTATTTATTTTAATAAAAAATACACTTTTTGTACATTTTGCATGTTTATAATCATAAGCAGAAAATACCATTTATATTAAAATTGTTTTATATATTAATTGTATGTTATATATTAATGTTAAAATTTATTTAATTCGATTTTTTTTGTTGCATTTCTGCATTTGTTATTAGGGTGTGCATTTTTTAAAATTATTATCAATATTATTTTTATTTTAGTATTATACATATTAATTTATTTTGAAGTGTATTTAATTTGAAACATTTTTGTATTTATTATTTGGAAGTACAAATATTTTATTTTAAAATAAATTAAATTCTACATATTTATAATTTTCAATTAAACAAAATTAATCACATTTTATGTCATGTTATTTCGACTGCTTCTATAAAAATATTAATCAATGACGTTTAGCATTTATGAACTCATTTCAAAACAAGCCTAAAACCTGAATAAGGCTGAAAACACTGCAGTAAAATCCTCTGCTCATCTCCTGCAGATAAGAGACGCCTCCATCACTGAGCTCAGGGTCAAAGTTCAGGAGCTGCAGGAGAGTTCAGCCCAATCCACCGAGCGGCAACAACCCAAAAACCCAGCAGAGGGACACGCAGAGGGCAGAGAGCATCCTGGGACTGATGTCACAAAGCATCCTGGGATTGATGTCAGAGAGCATGCTGGGATGGATCTCCGAGAGCATGCTGAGATAGATCTGCAGGAGCATGCTGGGATGGATGTCAGAGAACATTCAGGGATGGATCTGCAGGAGCATATCTGTGGTTTGCAGCAGAAGATCCAGCAGATGCAGGAGCTCCACGCGGCTGAGATCATGGACATGGAGACCAGACACATCTCCGAGAGCGAGAGTCTGCGGCGGGAGAACCAGCAGCTGGAGGATGAGTGCCGTGCACTCAGAGACGCCATACACACACTCTCACACACACAGGTCAGACGCAGCCCTGTACGCACGCACACGCACAGGTCAGATGTATTACTGTATATGAATATTAATTAGGAGGTGGGGATTAATTTTTCTATGCTAATGTTCTTCCAACTGAAGCTGAATATTGATTAGTAGGCAGGGTTTTACTTTCCTATGCTAATGTTCTTCCAACTGAAACTGAATATTGATTTGGAGGCTGGATGAATTTTTCTATGCTAATGTGCTTCCAAATAAAACTGAATATTGATTAGTAGGCGGGGTTTAACTTTCATATGCTAATGTTCTTCCAACTGAAACTGAATATTAAGTAGGGGCGTGGCTTATTTTTTCTGTGCAGATGTACTTCCAACTGAAACTGAATATTAAGTAGGGGCGGGGCTTAATATAATTGGGTTGAAGTACATCCTACTGAAACAGCATGCTGACATTAAGCCCCTCCTTCTACTGGAAATTCTGTTTTAGTTGGAAATACTGAATCCACAAGCCCCTTTACATCTTTAGTTTATTAATTCATTAATTTTCTTTTTGGCTTTGTCCCTTTATTAATCTCCATTGCCACAGTGAAATGAATCGCCACATTCACAATACTGTTTGTGTTCTTCAGGGTCCAGCGGTGCGGTCGGAGCGTCCTGCAGTCTCTCCATTTAAAGACGGATACACCAGTGGTGAGAAGCGCCTTTATTTCATGATGAAATCTGTACAGATCAGTAATGAATTCAAGTAGTTCTACAATTGAAAATAGGTGTTTTTTAAGTTAGGATAATCAGTGGCCGGCAATAAATGATTTTAAATGCGTGACGTGGAGGCGAAAACGCCTTGACAGAACTGTGGAGTGCAGTTAAGGGTGCGTTCACATCTGTAGTTCACTTGATTTGGTCTGGATCAAGGGTAATAAATGATGCATTGTTGCATTTTCTGCCGTCTTTGGATCGTTTTCACACCACACTGCTGGCTTTGGTCCCAACCAGTTGAAAAAAACCAAAATGCAGTCATGTGACAAACAACACATCTCTCATTGGCCAGATGTTGTTGAGCATATTTCCTAAACTGCTTATTGATTGGTCAGAATTCACGAGCGGGAAAATGCCAGTGAACTCCCGCAGGTAAACAAAACCTTTTCCTCTGGAGGGCCGACTGCGCTGGCTGATTGTATCCCTGCTTTAGACAAACTATACATTACGAGAATGAAGCGCGGCCGCGGCTGGAAAACAGTGTTTAATGCATCACTCGTCACTTCAGGAGGAGGCGTGAATTAATTTAGCTGAACTGCAACATGCTCATCTTGCGGAAATATTACCAACGATCCATCAGCTAATGTTTTCCCCCCTCTCTCTCTCTCTCTGTTGGTAAAGCGCTGTCAACAAATATTTTTCCTCCATATCCCATAATGCACAGCGCATCGGCCTACGGCAGCTGAATTAGTCCAAAAGGCGCAGTACTTTTTGTGGTTGGATCTGTTTTAGATCGGATCATATTCTCATCACAGACGAACCGCTCCAGGGTTTGTTTGAAAGTGTACCGAGACCACCTCTTCAAGCAGGTCTCGGTACGCTTATTGGGTCCGCTTTTGGTGCACACTCGAGTACGATTGCTGCATTCACACCTGCCCAAACCAACCAAACCAAAAGGGGAAACGAACTCTAGTGCGATTCAATAGAACTAAATAAGGCAGGTGTGAACGCACCCTCAGATTCGATAATACTGTTGATTATCCTGCTTATCCCATGCTCATTTACTGAGTTATAGTATTGTGTAAACGAGTTCTTTTTGTCAGGTACTGCACCTTTGATCTCAGACTTTGAAGTTACTGTAAGTTACCATGGTTACTGCTAACTGCGCATTCATTTTGAGCAGTTATGAAAACTGACTGGATCTACTTGTGCATTACATGATTCTATTGCACACCTTCCAGCCAATCAGAATCAAGTATTTCAATAAACAATGGACAACAATAAATGAATAACTTCTTATATCTACACTCGCCGGCCACTTTATTAGGTACACCTGTCCAACTGCTCGTTAACGCAAATGTCTGATCAGCCAATCACATGGCAGCAGCTCACTGCATTTCAGCATGTAGACATGGTCAAGAAGATCTGATGCAGGTCAGAGTGAGCATCAGAATGGGGAAGAAAGGGGATTTAAGAGACTCTGAACGTGGCATGGTTGTTGCTGCCAGACGGGCTGCTCTGAGTATTTCAGAAACTGCTGATCTACTGGGATTTTTGTGGTGGAACGGGAGATTGGCATCATGGATGTGCAGCCGACAAATCTGCAGCAACTGTGTGATGCTATCATGACAATATGGAGCAAAATCTCTGAGGAACATTTCCAGCAGCTTGTTGAATCTACAACATGAAGGATTCAGGCAGTTTTGCAGGCTAAAGAGGGTCTAACCCGATACTAGTGTGGTGTACCTAATAAAGTGGCCGGTGATTGTGTGTCCGTCACGGTTACACATTTTAAATGTCCTTATTATTAATTCATTAAGAAATGTTTACATTTAGGAATTCTTGCAGAACCCAGAGTAACCTGATCAAATATAACAATATGAAAAAGAAAATATTGTGTATTTTGTGTTGGTGTCTGAATGTGTGTGTCTCTCTAACTCTGTCTGTGATTATGAATGTGTGTGTGTGTGTGTGTGTGTGTTACAGACAGTAGTTCAGAATGGAGTCAGCGCACTGGTCTGGATCACACACTCCTGCAGCAGGAGATGCGCAGCACACCGGAAGGGGCGCGCCGGGACGCGGAGCCCGACGTCCTGCCTGACAGGATCAAGGTGAGCTCACACACACACACTAACACACACACTCGCACTAACACACACACACTCTCTCTCTCTTTCCTACACAGAATCTGCTGCGTGAGGTGCATCAGGAGGGCATGCAGGTGCTGTCGCTGTCTGAGCTGCCCCTCGGCGAAGTGGAGCGAGAGACACACACACGCGCGCACACACACACCTGGAGTGCAGAGAGAGAGAGAGACGCATTCTGCAGCGCTGTGGAGACGCTCAAGAGCCTGATCAGCAGACTGCAGAGTGACACACAGGTGCGCACACACACACTCACACACACATGTATATATAATGTACACTACATGTACACGCACAAAGGCTATACATGCGCACACACAGTATACACGTGCTATACATGCTCGCACACACACACACACACACACATTTACTCACACATTACATTCCACACACACACACACACACACTTTACATGCACACATGCTATGCACACACATTTACTCACATATTACACACACACACACATACACACATCCATTATGCACCTACTCATTCTGTACACACACATTCACTCACACACATGCATACATACACACACACTCTCACACACTCACCCACTTTATATGCACACATAGTATACACACACACACACACACACACACACACTAAATAATATAAAAAACAACACATTCACACACAAACACTATACACTTACTACACACACACTCACTTTATACGCACACATAGACACACAATCATTCACACACACTTTGTACACACAAATAGTATACATACACACACACACACTATACACATACATTATACACGCACACATGCTACACACACACACACACACAAACACAAACACACACTATACACATACATTATACACACACACACACACTATACACTTACTACTCGCATACTTTATATGCTCTCATAGTATACACACAATCACTTGCATACACACAAACAACACACACACACACACACACACACACACACACACACACACACACACACACACACACACACACATCATTACAGTTCACAAAACTGTAGGCAATTGTTTTACATAAAATTGTGTGTGTGTGTGTGTGTGTGTGTGTGTGTGTGTGTGTGTGTGTGTGTGTGTGTGTGTGTGTGTGTGTGTGTGTGTGTGTGTATGTGTGTGTGTGTGTGTGTGTGTGTGTGTGTGTGTGTGTGTGTGTGTGTGTGTGTGTGTGTGCGCAGGCTGCTGGAGACTGGCGCTCTGAGCTGCTGTCAGTGGTCCAGCAGGTGTTTGTGCGTGAGCGAGAGCTGCTGAAGAGTGTGTTATTCGCTCATCTGGAGCGTCTGGACTCTGCTGATGCGCTCATTCACCTCAACCAGCTGGAGAGAGCGCTAGCGGAGCAGGTTAGCATACGCCGCACACAACAGACACCTGCTAACACACACACTCATCTGATCAGGGTGTGTGTTCATCATGACGAGCACTTCAGTGTGTGTCCCTGCAATAAAATCCTCACATCCCTCTTAAAGTGTCTCCAGAATGAAGTGTGCTGTGTGTATTGTCGTGTCTAAATGTGTGTGTGTGTGTGTGTGTGTGTGTGTGTGTGTGTGTGTGTGTGTGTGTGTGTGTTGCAGGACGTGCAGCACCGAGAGGCGATGGGAGTTTTGTACTCTGCGGACAGAAGCAGCCTGTGCTCCGAGATCCAGCAGCTCCGAGATCAGCTGCACACACTCACATCTGAACACACACACGCCAGCGGTAATACACACACACACACACACACACACACTCACACACACACTCATCACTGCGGTCGTCTGTTCTGGGAGTGATGTTTACTTCTGTTCTCATCAGGAATGCTGAGCTCTGATAGGCTGGAGGAGAGGCTGCTGAGCTCTGATAGGCTGGAGGAGAGGCTGCTGAGCTCTGATAGGCCGGAGGAGAGGCTGTTGAGCTCTGATAGGCTGGAGGAGAGGCTGCTGAGCTCTGATAGGCTGGAGGAGAGGCTGCTGAGCTCTGATAGGCTGGAGGAGAGGCTGCTGAGCTCTGATAGGCCGGAGGAGAGGCTGTTGAGCTCTGATAGGCTGGAGGAGAGGCTGCTGAGCTCTGATAGGCCGGAGGAGAGGCTGCTGAGCTCTGATAGGCCGGAGGAGAGGCTGTTGAGCTCTGATAGGCTGGAGGAGAGGCTGCTGAGCTCTGATAGGCCGGAGGAGAGGCTGCTGAGCTCTGATAGGCTGGAGGAGATGAAGTCTGAACTGAACCACACTAAACTAGAGCTGGAGAGCGCTCTGAACACACAACACACACACCTGAGGGAGCTTGACACACTCAGGTAACGCACACGCGCGCAATACAATACTTGCAGACATCTGAACGAGCTCAACACACTCCGATAACAAACACACACACACGTACTTGTGACATACACAAACACACACCTTAAAGAGCTGGTAACATGCACACTTTGGTAACACAGATGCAAAACACACACCTGAGGGAGCTCGACACACTCGGGTAACAGACAATAAAATGCAAAACAACACACACACACACACACTCGGATAGCACACACACACACGACACATACACTACAAACATCTGAATATAGTAACATATTCGGGTAACACAGATGCACAACACACACACACACACACTTATGTGACACACACACCTGACAGAGATTGATACACTCAGGTAATACACATATACTTCTTACAAACACACACACACACACCTAAAAGAGCTGGTAACATGCTCACTCAGGGAACACACGTGCACAACACACACACACGCACTTATGTGACACAAACAACTGACAGAGCTTGACACATTCTGTAACACAGACTCTTGATACACACACACACACACACACTGATGATGTGCTGTGTTCTGCAGGTCGGAGGTCTCTCTGCGAGTCAGTGAAGTGGACACACTGACAGACCGGCTGGCGGAGGAGCAGAAGAGAGGCCGAGAGCTGCAGTGGGCGCTGGAGAAGCAGAAGCACCGGCTGGACAGGAAGGAGGAGGCCGACAGAGAGGAAGTAGAGGTGAAGACACTGTGTCCCACTGCGCTTATGAACACCGTCTATACGTGCAGCTGGATAGTGATGCGTGTGTGTGTGTGTGTGTGTGTGTGTGCAGGAGCTCAGACTGGCTCTAGAGGAGCAGCGCAGCCGTGTGTCTGAGCTCTCCATCTCTCTGGAGCAGCAGAAGCAGATCTCAGATCAGCAGAGAGAAATACAGCACAGCGACGTCTCTGAGCTGCAGGTGTGTGTGTGTGTGTGTGCGTGCGTGCATGTGTGTGTGTGTGTGTCAGAGATGGAGCAACACCTTAACAACAGCATAGCATTGTCTTACCGACAGCATAGCATTGTACTAGCAACCACTTGGAACACCCTATCAACACCTTAACGACAGCATAGCAATGTATTAGCAATCACTTAGAACACCCTGGCAACAGCAACACCTTAACAACAGGATAACATTGTCTTAACAACATTATAACAATATACTAGCAACCACTTAGAACAACCTAGCAACACCTTAACAACAGCATAGCAATGTCTTAACAACAGCATAACAATATACTAGCAACCACTTAGAACACCCTAGCAACACCTTAACAACAGCATAGCAATGTCTTAACAACAGCATAACAATATACTAGCAACCACTTAGAACACCCTAGCAACACCTTAACAACAGCATAGCAATGTCTTAACAACAGCATAACAATATACTAGCAACCACTTAGAACACCCTAGCAACAGCAACACCTTAACAACAGCATAGCAATGTTCTAGCAACCACTTGGAACACCCTAGCAACACCTTAACAACAGCATAGCAATGTATTAGCAATCACTTAGAACACCCTGGCAACAGCAACACCTTAACAACAGCATAGTATTGTCTTAACAACATTATAACAATATACTAGCAACCACTTAGAACACCCTAGCAACACCCTTACAACAGCATAGCAATGTCTTAACAACAGCATAACAATATACTAGCAACCACTTAGACCACCCTAGCAACAGCAACTACTTAACAACAGCATAGCATTGTCTTAACAACAGCATAGCAATATACTAACAACCACTTAGACCACCCTAGCAACAGCAAATGCTTAACAACAGCATAGCATTGTCTTAACAACAGCATAACAATATACTAGCAACAACTTAAAACACCCTAGCAACAGCAACACCTTAACAACAGCATAGCATTGTCTTAACGACAGCATTGCAATATACTAGCAACCACTTAGACCACCCTAGCAACAGCAACACCTTAACAACATCATAGAATTGTCTTAACGACAGCATTGCAATATACTAGCAACCACTTAGACCACCCTAGCAACAGCAACACCTTAACAACATCATAGCAATGTTCTAGCAACCACTTGGAACACCCTGGCAACAGCAACACCTTAACAACAGCATAGCATTGTCTTAACAACATTATAACAATGTACTAGCAACCACTTAGAACACCCTAGCAACACCCTTACAACAGCATAGCAACGTATTACAAATACTCGAGCATTACATATATTGTGTTACTGTCACAGCTCAGTGAATGGGTGTTTACAATGATTGTGTGTTTATGTGTGTGTGTGTGTGTGTGTGTGTGTGTGTGTGTGTGTGTGTGTGTGTGTGTGTGTGTGTGTGTGTGTGTGTACAGGTTCAGTTAGACGCTCAGAGGGCTCGATGCGCAGAGCTCAGCGGCGCTCTAGAGAAGGAGAAACAGCTCAACACACAGCTGATCCAGCGCTTCCAGAGCGGCTCCTCAACACACACACTGCCTTCTGGGACGCAGAACACACTCCTGGAGGCCGAAGCCACCTGCAGCCAGGTGAACAAAGACACGCACACATGGACGGAACCAAACCATTGCATTTTTTCCTATCAAATGAAAAGTTTATCCTGCTCAGCACACACGGTTCATCCATAGCTAAAGTAGCTGCAGGGAAACAGAGCTGCTGATGCGGCACACATCCACAACTGCATGATGCTTATGAGGATTTCTAAGTTCATGAATAAATCTGATGCTGTGTTTGGGCTCAGGTGGAGGCCGGAGTGGAGTCGGTGGAGTCTCTGCTGCAGACGCTGCAGTCTCAGCTGATGGAGAAGCAGACGCAGGTGGTGCAGATGATGGAGGAGATGGAGAAGCAGCAGCTGGAGGCGCTGCAGCACAGAAGACAGAGCCAGGAGGAGAGATCCGCCCTCGCCCGCACCGCGGCTGAGCACCAGAGCGCCCTGCAGACGGCCCGCGAGAGCCTGAGAGAGATGCAGAGTCAGCTGCAGGCGGAGAGAGAGAACGGCAGGAGGATGGAGACGGAGAGAGAGAAACTGCAGGAGACGCTCACACTGCTGGAGGACAGACTGCACAGCCACACCGCGCGAAACCACGGTACACTGACAATCACAGCACTGTACAACACTGTAAACCTACAGTCACACTGATGGAGGACAGACTGCACAGTCACAGCGAATGCCCTTCCAGCTGCAACCCAGTACTGGGAAACACCCATACACACTCATTCACACACACACACACACATATATATATAAATGAAGAGTTCAGATGCAAAAACCTCTAATGCCGAGTTCAGACTGCAGGATTTTCACAGTAGTCGTGTCACAGGTGTGTTCACACTGCATGACTATCTGCGCTAGCGTTTCGTCGCTGCTTTGTTTACACTGCAAGATGGATCGGCGACAGGGACTTTCACATTGCATGACTTTACTTTAGGAAGAATCGCAGACAACTTCGTCCAAACTACGTCTCACAGCCAAAAACACGTCGTATATCTTTTGTTATTAATGAGAAAGAAGCCATGTACATGTTTGCTCACCTGGGTTTAAAGGGAATTAGCCATTTCTCCTCAACGTTGATCATAAACTAATTTCTTTCTGTATGAAACGTCAAACAGACACGGCTGCTCCTGAGTCCTGTCAAACCTACACTAGTTTTTCCTCCATTTCATGGGTCCGAAGATTTTCAAATAAACCGAAGATGAGCGCTTTTAACTTCTCCCACTTGCCGGCAGCAGGTATACACACACACACACACACACATACATGTACACACAAGTGAAAGCTGCTCTCTCATTGGCTGTTGGCGATGGCTGATGTTATTTTCAGTCAGAACTCAATTCACACGGCATGATTTGAATCACCGACAGCTCCAGATGTTCAGCACGCCAAATATCTCGCAGGCATCGGCGACTCATCGGCGATTCTCTCAGATCGCGTCTTTGATCGTTCATACTGTGTGATTGTCTCTCACGTGCACGAGCAGCGATTTGCCTGTGATTTCAGGCATTTGTCGGCGATTTCTCAAAACCTGTCGGCGAGCCAAAATCAGGGCTAAAATCCTGCAGTCTGAACTAGGCATAAGTGCCTTCTGAACCTTCCATCTAAAATGAACATTTTGCTCAGCTCCTTCGTTTATATGGAGTTATTTATATTAAAGACCATATAAAGGGCTTATTGTTTGCCATAAAAGTGGTATTATTGAACCCACACACAGGAGCCTGATAAAAATGCTCATTTTAGAAGAATATTTACATTTTATCCAAAGCGATTTACAAATGAGGACAAGGAAGTAATTTACACAACTATAAGAGCAACAATGAATAAGTGCTGTAGGCGAGTTTCAGGTGTGTAAAGTGTAAAGGCTGATTTATACTTCTGCATCAAGCGCACGCGCATGCTACGGTGCTGACGCATAGCCCTACGCTGTGGCTGTGGGCGTCGCTGACGTGCACCTCTCAAAAAATGTAACTACATGTCGCAACGACGCGTAGTGCAAGCTCTGTGATTGGTCGGCTTGGTAGCTCTGACGAGTCTGGGCGGGATCGAGAGCCGCGCGAGCCCAATGGAGCGATTGTTTACAAGTGTGAATTCCCGCGAAGAAGCTCTTGATGGAAAGTTTTATTTAGTGTTTACCTCATTGTTAAAGTTGTTCCAAGTCTGCCGGTTCCTGCCTCAAAATGAGCGAGTTTGAGCCACTTGTACATCCAGGAAGTGTTCAGAAAAAACAAAACACAGCCGAAGAAACATTTACACATCACTGCCAACTAGCGTTTCGGAAGTGTTAATGCAGACCAACAGAGACAGCAGCAGAAGTATAAATGCACAGCTACACGTGTTGCATGCGCCGCTGGGTACGCCGGTCACTTGGCGCAGAAGTATAAACCAGGCTTTAGAAGCAAGACATTAGTACTTTTTTTTCTGTAGTGCAGTTAGCGGTGGAGCCAGAGAGGCAATTGCAGATTAGGAAGGAAAGTGGAGAATGAATAGTTGAGTCTTTTGTCGTTTCTTGAAGACAGCGAGTGACTCTGCTGTTCTGATGCAGTTAGGGAGTTCATTCCACCAACTGGGCAGATTGAACGCGAGAGTTCGGGAAAGTGATTTCTTCCCTCTTTGGGATGGAACCACGAGGCGACGTTCATTCACAGAACGCAAGTTTCTGGAGGACACATACATCTGCAGAAGTGAGAGCAGATAAGAAGGAGCAAAGCCAGAAGTCGCTTTGTAGGCAAACATCAGAGCTTTGAATTTGATGCGAGCAGCAACTGGCAGCCAGTGCAAACGGATGAGCAGCGGAGTGACATGTGCTCTTTTAGGTTCATTAAAGACCACTCGTGCTGCTGCGTTCTGGAGCAGCTGAAGAGGCTTGATAGAGTTAGCTGAAGCCCGGCTAGTAGAGAGTTGCAGTAATCCAGTCTGGAGAGAACAAGAGCTTGAACAAGGAGTTGAGCTGCATGTTCAGATAGGAAGGGTCGGATCTTTCTGATGTTATAGAGTGCGAATCTGCACAATCGAGCAGTTCTAGAAATGTGCTCAGAGAAGTTTAGTTGGTCATCACTCGTTACTCCAAGGCTTTTCACCGTTTTGGATGCAGTAATGGTTGCCCCATCCATCTGGATTGAAAAGTTATGATGTAGAGTCTTGGATGTGTTTCTGACAGCATTTAGTTTTTGCATCTAAACTCTTCATTTATATATATATATATATATATGTGTGTGTGTGTGTGTGTGTGTGTGTGTGTGTGTGTGTGTGTGTGTGTGTGTATAAGTGTTATTATAATAATTAAATATTGAAGGTATATATATAAATCAGTGAAACACTAATAGCCCTGTGTGTGTGTGTGTTCAGATGGGCAGCCGGTGGATGGAACCCGTGACTGGGTGTTGCAGCATGAGCCGGCGAACACTCTAAATCTGGAGTCCACCTGTGTGCAGCAGACCAGCGCGGACCCCAAACACATGGAGAAAAGCTCTGACCCCAAACACATGGACCACATCCTCAGCAGACTGCAGCTCATCGCAGCCAAGATCAACAGCCTAACCAGCCAGAGCCCACACAGGTACAGCCGACACACACCGCTGCTCACACTCACGCTCTGACCAAGCACACTCAGTTCATCAACATTCACCCTTCATTAAAACAAAGCATTCTCACTTGTTCTGCTCCTTTACACAAGCTGTGAACGCGTCTCCGCTGTGTCTAGAGAGTGTGTGTGTGTGTGAGTCTGAGCTGAGAACAGCGCACAGATCATCTCCTCCAGCTCTCTGAATCTGACCCTTTCAGACTTTGATCCTAACTGTGCTGTTTTGGTGACTGTCGCTTTAAATGCAAATGAGATTGTATGTGTGTGTGTGTGTTTGTGTTTGTGTGTGTGTGTAGGTTACCTGGAGAAGGGCCAGACCGGGACAGTCTGGCATGGCTGCACAGTAATGTACAGGATGTGATGTCACTGTTACAGCATATCCCATCAGCCCCTTCTGCCCTTCCAGAGGTGAGCAGACGTTTGTGCCAGCAGCAGCTTCATGATGTGACATTCTGACATTCTGAATGATATATATCTGTGTGTGTGTGTGTGTGTGTGTGTGTGTGTGTGTGTGTGTGTGTGTGTGTGTGTGTGTAGAGTGTGTCTCTGCTGTCTGCGGGCTCCTGCTCTCTCTTGAATGAGCGTTTGCTCCGTCAGAACGCAGAGCTCACAGGATTCGTCAGTCGACTGACCGAGGAGAAGAACGAGCTGCGCAACCAGATCCTGAAGCTGGAGGACGAGCTGCGCAGATACCGACAGCACAGGGACAACACCCACACCGTCAGTCACACTCAGCGTTCACTCTCATCTTCTTCTTCTTCCGTCTTCTGAGACTAATTTTAAAGTGTATCTCCTCCTAAGCCTTTCACGCTACATACTTCAAACTTTTGTTAAACCTTTAAACTGGTCTGACTCGGGTTGCTATATCTTTTCTAACTGATCCGACTTTGGGTTTTCCGAAAAACGACCCGGAAAATTCCCAAAATTCCCATTGACTTAACATTGGGTCAAATTTCGTGAGCTCATAACTCTGCATCAGACTGTCAAACAGACTTATGACTGAGCGCATTTAACTCAGTCTAGCCAGCAGCCAATCCCTGATGACCTTTAGACTTAATAGCCACTCCCTAGCAACCACTTTTAGCACCCTAGCAACTGTCCTTACACTTCCATTGTAAAAGTCTGCCATTGACTTAACATTGAGTCAACCTTCGTGAGCTCATAACTCTGCGTCAGACTGTCCTACAGACTAGAGTCAAGCCTCCTTCAACTCAGTCTAGCCAGCAGCCAATCACTGATGACCTTTAGACTTACTAACCACTCCCTAGCAACCAGTTTCAGGACCCTAGCAACTGTCCTATAGACTATGATTAGCTGTTTTAACACATGCTAATAGTTTTAACATCCTACTGACATGCTAGTCTGGTTACAAACATGCAAGCAACAAGCTAATGACATGCTAGTCATGCTAGCACATGCTAATTCATGCTAACAGCATGGTAGTTCAAGCTAGAAAGCAGATTCATGCTAGAATAATGCTAGTAACATGCTAATTCATGCTAGAATGAATTACAACATGCTAATCCATGCTAGAATCATGCTAATCTAACGCAAATTCATGCTTGAATCATGCTAACAACATGATAATCCATGCTAGAATCATGCTAATTCATGCTATAATCCTGCTAACAACATGCTAATCCATGCTAGTCATACTAATAACATGCTAATTTATTCTAGTAACATGCTAGTTAATGCTATTAACATGCTAATTCATGCTAGATTCATGCTAATAACATGCTAATTCATGCTAGAATCATGTTCAATTAACGCAAATTCATGCTAGAATCATGTTAACAACATGCTAATTCATGCTAGAATGAATTACAACATGCTAATCCATGCTAGAATCATGCTAATCTAACGCAAATTCATGCTTGAATCATGCTAACAACATGATAATCCATGCTAGAATCATGCTAATTCATGCTATAATCCTGCTAACAACATGCTAATCCATGCTAGTCATACTAATAACATGCTAATTTATTCTAGTAACATGCTAGTTAATGCTATTAACATGCTAATTCATGCTAGATTCATGCTAATAACATGCTAATTCATGCTAGAATCATGTTCAATTAACGCAAATTCATGCTAGAATCATGTTAACAACATGCTAATTCATGCTAGAATTATCTTAACAACATGCCAATCCATGCTAATTTATGCTATAATCATGCTAACAACATGCTAATCCACGCTAGAGTCATGCTAACAACATGCTAATTTATTCTAGTAACATGCTAGTTAATGCTATTAACATGCTAATTCATGCTAGATTCATGCTAATAACATGCTAATTTATTCTAGTAACATGCTAGTTAATGCTATTAACATGCTAATTCACGCTAGAGTCATGCTAACAACATGCTAATTTATTCTAGTAACATGCTAGTTAATGCTATTAACATGCTAATTCATGCTAATAACATGCTAATCCATGCTAGAATCATGCTAATAACATGCTAATTCATGCTAGATTCATGCTAATAACATGCTAATCCATGCTAAAATCATGCTAGAATCATGCTAACAACATGCTGATTCATGCTAGATTCATGCTAATAACATGGTAATCCATGCTAAAATCATGGTTACAACATGCTAATTCATAATAGAATCATGCTAATTCATGCTAGAATCATGCCAACGACATGCTAATCCATGCTAGAATCATGCAAATTCATGCTAGATTCATGCTAACAACATGCTAAGCCAGGCTAGAATCATGCTAATTCATGCTAGAATCATGCAAATTCATGTTAGAATCATGCTAATAACATGCTAATTCATTCTAGTAACATGTTAGTTCATGCTAGAATCATGCTAGTAACATGCTAATTCATGCTAGAATCTTGCTAGCAACATGCTAATTTGTGCCAGAATCATGCTAACAACATGCTAATCCATGCTAGAAACATGCTAACCTAACGCTAATCCATGCTAGAATCATGCTAATCTAACGCTAATCCATGCTAGAATCTTGCTAATCTAACGCTAATCCGTTCTAGAATCATGCTAATCTAATGCTAATTCATACTATATTCATATTGTAGGTCTCATATTTCTGCATCACCATAATGTTTGTCCTCAGACTTTACTATCTAGTTTAATTATTATATGTTTTATGTTACCAAACATGTTTCCAGCATTTAGAAGTGTGTGTGCGTGATGTGTGTGATAATGGGTGTATAAGAGTCAGCGTTTATTTCAGTGACTGTAGCTGTTTCTGTTATTTATTATACATGTGTTGTTATATTATATTACTTATTTGTTCCTCAGGCGTGGAGCAGGTCTGCTGTGGGCCGTCAGGATCTCCTCTTGTCCTCCAGCGAGCGCGAGTCCTGGGCTCAGGAGAGGAATAGTCTGCAGAAGTCTCTCCGCCAGACTGAAGCGGAGCTGAACCGTGTGAGATCAGAGCTGCGCTGCGACACGCTGAGAGACCTGAGCTCTGCTGATCCGGACAACACTGCGCTGAAGGTGGACAGCGGCTAGCTCACCGCTCGGCTACAATACAAGATGTGTTATGTAAACGCAGCTAGCATCTCCGCTAACCCCTGCGTGTCTGTCTCCTCAGAGGATGTATGGGAAATACCTGCGCGCCGAGAGCTTCCGCAAGGCTCTGATCTACCAGAAGAAGTACCTGCTGCTGCTGCTGGGGGGCTTCCAGGAGTGTGAGGACGCCACGCTGACCCTGATCAGCCACATGGGGGCGCTGCCGGGACACTGCAGCCCACACACACAGCAGCGCAGGGGGATCACACGCTTCAGATCCGCTGCACGCGTCTCCATCGCACTGTCCAGGTGCACACACACACACATACATGTACTCACATGCGCACACACATTCAGGCCTACACACGCACCCACATACGTACAAACATATACACAAAAACACATACACACTCACTTGAACACACACACACACAGATAAATATTTATACACACACACACAACATTCACCACAGCAGTAGTGTGTTGTTTGCTCCTGTTGTTACGTCCCGACCAGTCTAGGGTTGGTGGGAACAATAACAAGTGTAAAAAAAAAATAAATAAAGAGAAACTCAAAAACTCAATTTAGGGTTTTCCCCTTCTCCTGTCCCAACTCACAATAATCACCACGCTGATCAAGTAGTAACAATATTTATTTACTTAGAAAACAAAGATAGAAGCATCTCTTCGGAAGGGAATCCAGGCCAAAATAATAAACAAAAAGACAGCTAACTTGCGGGGAAATAATTCTAACTTACCTGCTCAAATAAAAGTACCCCAAATAAAATTACAACAAACTTCCCTTTCTCCCTTGCTACCACAAACCAGGAGAAAACGTTTTAAAGTAAATGGCGATTCCCAACCTACCGCTTCTGTTTCTCCAAAACTAATATATTTAAATAGGTATTTAATCAGAAAAGCCAATAGATTCACATTTCACAGAAAGCCGTTTAAGAAAATAATTAAATTGTCAGTAACAGAAATCTATTCACACCAAGTCACCCAACAATTTGGGGCAGGAGATAGGAGACGCTCGGAACAACAGCAGCGACGACGACGGAGATTTGCGACCTGCACCGAGCAGAAAGATCTCCCCATTGTTCCTCTCCTCCAGCTTATATACGCTCCCACACGCAACACGGCTGGACCGCAATCAAGCGCAGCTCTAGAGGGAGGGGGAGAGAGAGAGAGAAAGCTGCGCATGCTCCACAGCGCACAACACAACATCAGCTCCAAATGCATAACAAAACACAAATCTGTATATATATAATATTTATATATATAAAATTAGCAAACAAATAATTAATACGTTCTATAACGTAACACTGTAGTATTATTATTATTAACTGTGTGTGTGTGTGTGTGTGTGTGTGTGTGTGTGTGTGTGTGTGTGTGTGTGTGAGCAGGATGAGGTTTCTGGTGAAGCGCTGGCAGCGAGCGTCAGGAGGAAGCACAACACCGCAGATCCTCAGCAGAAACGGCCTCGCACACGGCACAGGTAACACACACACTAACACACACGCTAACAGTAGAGGCTAGCTGAGTCCTAGCACGAGTCTTCATCTGTGTGTGTGTGTGTGTGTGTGTGTGTGTGTGCTGCAGGTGCTGATGTGAGGAACGAGTCTTCTTTTCTGAGTCCCGCTGCTGTAGAGTTGTACAGAGACAGAAGAGCCACGAGCCGCGGCCGCACGGGACGAGAGTCTCCGAGATCTGCAGCCTCCGTCCAGCACAGGTGAAGCACAACTCTACACAACACGACCAAACATGACTCGACATAACACTACATAGCTCTTACACAACTCTACATCACACAATTCTAAATTACTCTACAACTCTACACATCTCTGCACAACTCTACAAACTCTGCATGACCCTTACACCAGGGGTATTGGCCCACTGGTCCACCCAGACATGTGTGTTGCGTGTGTAATGAGTGTGTAATGAGTGTGTAATGAGTGTGTTGCGTGTGTAATGAGTGTGTTGTGTGTGTAATGAGTGTGTTGCGTGTGTAATGAGTGTGTTGCGTGTGTAATGAGTGTGTAATGAGTGTGTAACGAGTGTGTTGTGTGTGTAATGAGTGTGTAATGTGTGTGTAATGAGTGTGTTGTGTGTGTAATGAGTGTGTTGCGTGTGTAATGAGTGTGTTGCGTGTGTAATGTGTGTGTAATGAGTGTGTAATGTGTGTGTAATGAGTGTGTTGTGTGTGTAATGAGTGTGTTGCGTGTGTAATGAGTGTGTTGTGTGTGTAATGAGTGTGTTGCGTGTGTAATGAGTGTGTTGCGTGTGTAATGAGTGTGTTGCGTGTGTAATGTGTGTGTAATGAGTGTGTAATGTGTGTGTAATGAGTGTGTTGTGTGTGTAATGAGTGTGTTGCGTGTGTAATGAGTGTGTTGCGTGTGTAATGAGTGTGTTGCGTGTGTAATGAGTGTGTTGTGTGTGTAATGAGTGTGTTGCGTGTGTAATGAGTGTGTTGTGTGTGTAACGAGTGTGTTGCGTGTGTAATGAGTGTGTTGTGTGTGTAATGAGTGTGTTGCGTGTGTAATGAGTGTGTTGCGTGTGTAATGAGTGTGTAATGAGTGTGTAACGAGTGTGTTGCGTGTGTAATGAGTGTGTTGCGTGTGTAATGAGTGTGTTGCGTGTGTAATGTGTGTGTAATGAGTGTGTTGTGTGTGTAATGAGTGTGTTGTGTGTGTAATGAGTGTGTTGTGTGTGTAATGAGTGTGTTGCGTGTGTAATGAGTGTGTTGCGTGTGTAATGAGTGTGTTGCGTGTGTAATGAGTGTGTTGCGTGTGTAATGAGTGTGTTGCGTGTGTGTTGTGTGTTTGCAGATTTGTGGGTGTGCCCGGTGAGGCGGGGGGTTTGTCGTGTTCACACCTGCAGAACTATGACCCGGACCGAGCGCTGACCGACTACATCAGCCGCCTGGAGGCCCTGCAGAGGAGACTGGGCAGCGTACAGTCGGGTACACACTGCACAACTCTGGACAATCTCCACACAACTACAAAACTCTACATATGTCAGCGCAACTCTACACAACTCTTCATAACTAGATAGCTCAACACAACTCAGCACAACTCTACACAACTACATAGCACAACATAACTCTACACATCTCTACACAACTTAACACAACTCAGCACACCTCTACAGAACTCCACATTACTACAGAACTCAACATATCTCCACACAACTCTACACAACTCTTTATAACTAGATAACTCAACTCAACACAACTCAACACAACTCAGCTCAACTCTACACAACTCTACACAACTCTTTATAACTAGATAACTCAACACAACTCAGCTCAACTCTACACAACTCTACATAACTCTTTATAATTATATAACACAACTCTCCACAACTTTACACAACTCAGTACAACTTTACACAACTCTACTACATAACACAACATATCTCCACACAACTCTATACAACTCTTCATAACTAGATGACTCAACACAACTCTACATAACTACACAACTCTACTCAACGTCAAATAACTCAACATATCTACACAACTGAGCACAACTCTACACAACTCTACATAACTCTTTACAACTAGATAACACAACCGAACACAACAACATAACGTAACACAACTCTACAAATTTCAGCATAACCCCACACAACTCTACATATCTCAGCACAACTCTACACAACATGTGTTGTTTGTATTTGCCTGATTCGCTCTGACAGACTCTTGATGTGTGTGTGTGTGTGTGTGTGTGTGCGCGTGTGTGTGTGTGCAGGCTCCTCCTCGTACGCTCACTTTAGCGTCAGAAGATAAAGCTCCTCATCTCCATCATGCTGTCTTGAAGAGACCGGTTGCCTTCTCGTGCTGAGCTGCTGTGCTTTCCTCTTCTCGCTCTGCACACCATCACACCCGTGGGACCAAAAACAGGCTTTTCTCTTGCTTTCCTTCATTTTCAGTTGTGTATCCTCGTATAATCCAGCTTTGCGTTGGCGCTTCAGCGTCTGTACATGACTCTACTTTCTTTGTGGTTAATGGAGATCAATCGAGCTGTTACTGTATATTTGTGGAATGCTAATTTAAGTTGATTAATTTAAGAAGCGTTGGTGACGGAGAACCGAACGGCTGCTATCTGACTCTGGAGAACACCGATGCTGCTGCGCCACACTAGCGTTAGCGACACGCGTGTGCTTTCAGACTCGACACACTGTGTTTTACTGCTCGCTCGCGTCAGAGGACATTTGTAGACATATTTTTGTAAAGGTAGGAGCTTCGGATTTTATGGGTATTTTGTCAAAACTGAAATAAAGATTAATATAATATTTAAATCTGCTTTTGGCTTTTTATTGTCTCGTTAGTGTAATTCAATTACGTTTTCACTGAACACAGTCATGTAAGGGATTACTTAAGCTATTTAGGTCGTTTAATTGCAGTAATTTGTATTTATTATATGAATCCCTGTGTGCTGTTGGGTCGTTTTCATCCACTCTGGGCTTATTTTGAGGCCTAATTTGGTCACAATATTCTCCGTTTCAGTAAATGGAATGATTTTTACTGACAAATCGTATTTTGACCATAGACTGTACATGATCTGGACGGAGTATACGTGACGTCACCTATAGGTTTCTGAAGAGCGCAAATGAAGCAACAAGTAGGCGTGGCCAACCGTCGCCAGATTGTTCGCCTGACATCGCACTGACGGTAAAATCTAGATTGGATATGCGGCCGACTGGAAGTGCGATATGCACGTTAACATAGCAGCATTTTAACAATATCAACTGTGTAACAATAATTAATAGTTTGACAGTACTGTGACGGTTGGGTTTAGGGTTGGGGTAGACGTTAACAAAAATAAAACTTATTGGTTAATTTAATTGATAGGATAAATAAAACTCGGTACAACTTCAGTTTTTATAGTGCTTTGGCGTTTGGGTTTAGGGTTGGGGTGGGGGTAGACGTTAATAAAATACAATAAATTGAAAATTTTATAAGTAATATAAATAATTCTCGATAACTTCCGGCCGCAACCATATCCGATCTAGCAACAACCCGCACTGACCGGGGGTGCCCAAATAGGGTATATGCCGAGCTAGTGCTGTTCCCATGCTGATACACTTCCGGTGACCTGTTATTGTGAACTTTTTCCCATTTTATACGGTTTTATACGGTTTTATACGGTTTTTTACGGTTTATACGGTTTTATACGGATAAACTTTAGCATTTATTTACGAGACAAACGAGACAAAAAGCCGTTTACTCGCACGTGCCCATCAGAATCGGCAGGCTAACCCACAAGCTCCATTGAATATACTGGTGTAAAATAAACGCTCATATTATAAAGACATGGCGAGGGAAATGTAATTTAATGCAGTGCTTCTGGTACAATCTGAGACCCACTTTAAATCGGATATCACTCAGCTAGTGGAGATCGCTGATTTTTAAAGAAAACAGACCTTAAACGCACCGGATTTTGCACTGGCTTTCAATTCGCCGGAAGCGCTTAACCCAGGTTACTGGCAAATTAAAAGTCCTATTAGCATGCTTCGGCATATACCCCATAAGGCCAAAGAGACGGAGCTACAGACGCCTGCTAGCATTTTGCTTAGACAGGCTTTTGTATGGGAGAAACGCTTAAACCTTCATCACCTGAGACTCGTTTGTGTTCTGACCTCATGTGCTTGGTTGTACACTATATCAATAAAGTGTTTAGTCTTTTATAAACACTGCTGTAATACATTGAGCCACTAAACATTGCTCTTATGATGTTTTTCAACAGGAGGAAACACGATACTACTTCCAAACACCTCAGATATAGTCTGTATTAGTAAATGCAGGACTATTGATGAACTCCAGGGATAACACTGTATGACAACACTTCAGATGACTGATCTAGAGCCTACAGCTGATCAATCGGTCAGATTCTGCAGTGCATTTCAGCTCTGAACAACATTATTAATGATAAATGATCCTAAATAAAACAAATACACTTATAGAGATGGTATAGAAGTATATAATGTCACGCGAATTACTTCCAAACACTTACATATAATCTGTATTAGTTATAGTTATAAGTATATTATTTCACTCTGCTGGGAAATGGAGGTCATGTGAGCAGAATTAAGTGCACACAGCATGATGCCGTATTATCTGATAATTCTAGGAAATAATTCCTAAAGGCAACTGACAGTGTATACGATGTATATGCAGAGTTCTGCGGCTAATCAGCCGGAATCAGCTGAGGGGACTGCGAGGAGCCTAGCTGTCACTCAAGTGGCCACGCCCTTAATTATGCAGACTTAATATAACTTAATAAGAACTAAACAGATGAGTTATGAAAAGATCACCCCCTCACAGTTGTGATGAAGTGTAATATTAGCTATATGCACCAACGCCATCATTTGTAGCAGGGTGTAAACATGTTTTTATCAGCTGTAAATCTGGCCAGTTCACCATTACAGTCAGTGAACATCTGGAGTTCCTGGAGCGAGCCCCCAGTGGCCAGTCGATGAATTGCAGTTTCAGTTACTTCCGTATTGGCTTCATGAGGAACAGCAGGATGTTGCCGCTTGATTTTGACACATCTTTTGGGAAATGCTTTGAGAAACAATACACTCTTTTCAGATTGACTTCCCTTTGGTTATGTTGGTGCTTTTTTTGCCCCATTGACTGCCATTATGGTCCCGTTTATTGATTACAAACTAGCCATGACAGCAGATAATCATGCATTCTTGATCATTGGTGTTTTTTTTTCCTTTTGGGAAGAGGTCAAATTTAATCTGTCATTTATATTAAATTATGTTTATATATTTTGTCATTTTTGTGTTGATCATCAGTTGCAGTGCAAAAAAAAAAAGGTTTAGTTTCTGGTTTTTATATGTTGTGTGTGTGTGTGTGTGTGTGAGAGAGAGAGAAAGAGAGAGAGACCTTTGCACACTTATCTCGATATTTCTTAAAATAATCCAAATTAAAAACATTTCCCTACTGAAAAAAACATCTTAAACCAGCCTAGGCTGGTTGACTGGTTTTAGCTGGTCGACCCTGCTGGTATTAGCTAAAACCAGCTTGACCAGCCTAGCCAGGCTGGGAGCCCAGCCAAAACCAGCTATGTCCAGCTTAAACCAGGCTGGTCAAGCTGGTTTTAGCTGGTCATTCTCCAGCCTGACCAGCTAAGACCAGGATGGAAACCAGCCTGGAAATGGCCAAAACCACTCTAAAACCAGCCTAGGCTGGTTCAAGCTGGATTTTTCAGCAGGGTTGCCTTATCTTGAGTCTCAGACCAAAGTTTTACACCCAGCTCGCTAATTCTCTGAAATAAACTCGTTCATTTATTTATAGCTACACTTCAGCACTTACACAATACATATTTGTAGTTTCTCAGAGACACAGCTAGAGAGTATTTATATCTACACATTAGTCGGTTTTTTCCTTGGCATTTCTATGATGTTTTTCAGAGATATTACCATAAAATAATCTGTGATGATTCTCTATGAGGAATGTCGAGATTAAAATGTAGAAATGAACAAGAACAGTTGGTTCATGGTATTAAATTGATTCACCAGGTTTGATTTTCGGTGACCATTCACACACGTTTTTGTTGAGTTTTGGAACGCAGTAGCCAATCAAGGGCGGTTATCAGTCAACTCAAGGCTGATGGATGTTGACCGTTTCAGAGGAACGAAACCGGTAAGAGATTAATGTCGTTTTATAAACAGCTTCAGTGATTATAGAAGGTGTTTGTGTGGACGCATAGATATATCTATTGTGTGGACGGATATATTTGAACTGTGTGGTCGAAATATGGCGCGCAGTTTAAATCGTTTTCCGTTAATTGACGTTATTATTCATTAAACAATCAACAACAATTAATTTTGTCGTATCATAACAGCATCAGCCTTTAATTAGCTCCCGTTTTTATGTGTAAGTATTATTTTCATATTGTTTTGCTACAGATATCCAGATAGACCCATATGGTTAGTGCAGGAGTGTCCAAACTCAGCCCCACTCAGACACACCTGGGCTAGCTAATCAAGCTCTTAGGCTTTCTAGAAACATCCACGCAGGTGTGTTGAGGCAAGTTGGAGCTAAAATCTGCAAGACACCGGCCCTCCAGGACCGAGTTTAAACATCCCTGGGTTAGTGTAGGAAATGGTGAATATGTGGTTATCTTGGGTATAGCTACAGTATGATTTTACTGTTTTATTCATGATAAATTCACGGATAATATTCTTAGCTAAATGTGTTCACAGTATCCTGATTTGTATGAAGGAAATTAGATTAAAGTATTTGTCTCAATAGAATTAATAAGTTGAATATGTCATGACTAATGATCCTTGCTGTCTTTGTCCATATAGCTAACCTATATTATAATATATAAAAAAAACAAAGAAATAATAATATTAGAGATGTAATTATTCACTCAAATTCCTATTCGATGTGATTCACGATGCTGATCTTAAATAGTTTTTTATCATTTATTTCACTAAATGAGACAGTTTAGAAATAAGCAAAATTTCTTTATTATGTTTCTCAAATGCTGCACATTTCTTTTTAAAATAACATATATTTTGTCAAATACAAAAAAAAAAAAATATATATATATATATATATATATATATATATATATATATATATATATATATTTTTTTTTTTTTTTAATCCTAAACAAGCCCTGCTAAAAAAATCCTGCTTATACCAGCCTAGGCTGGTTGTCTGGTTTTAGCTGGTCGACCAGGCTGGTTTTAGAGGGGTTTTGGCCATTTCCAGGCTGGTCTTAGATGGTCAGGCTTGAAAATTACCAGCCAAATCCGGCTAAAACCAGCTTGACCAGCTTGGTTTAAGCTGGACATAGCTGGTTTTGGCTGGACTCCCAGCTTGGCTAGGCTGGTCAATCTGGTTTTAGCTGGTCATCTCCCAGCCTGACCAGCTAAGACCAGGCTGGAAATGGCTGGAAACCAGCCTGGAAATGGCCAAAACCCCTCTAAAACCAGCCTGGTCGACCAGCCTAGGTTCCTAAAAACGAATAATTCAAAAAATTACATTAAAAGTAAAATAAGCATCAAAAATCAAGGTGGTGTTCAATTAATCCTGATTTTAATTTAGCTGATATCGCCCGCCTCTAGTTCACACCAAACATGAAGCAGCACATCTAGGGATGGCCGATACCAATTATTTTCTTTCCAATCTGTTACACAGCGGAATGAACAACCAACTATTCCAGCATATGTTTTACACAGCGGATGCCCTTCGAGCTGCAACACGGTAATGGGAAACACCCATTCTCACTCATACACTACGGCCAGTGTAGTTGATCAGTTCCCCTATAGCACAT